GTCATGGCGGAACTCTGTGAAAGTTTGTGGTTGTGTGACAGTTTTTGGGAGGAAGTGGTCAAAGTTAATAGAAATCTTTGAGTTAATTTAATTCAAAGGATTGAGCTCTGAATTAAAATTTGGAAGCCGCTGGTTGAATGTTTCATTTTTGCTTAATTTATTTGTACAAGCTTTAATGAGGAGAACAGAAAAAAAGAAATACAGCACTCCAGAGGATAGATTAATTAGAGGTTAGAGAGTAGTATTTTTCTGAAAAAAAAAATGGCCCCCAAAGCCTAATTAAAAAATCAAAACCAGAAAAAAAAAATTAAAAAAAATCTAACTGTATGAAGAATAACAAGAGCAATAACAAGGGTCAAAAAGCAACAAAGGTCTCCAGGCTCTCAATTTAACCAGCATAAAACTTTCATGATCTTAGATGAAGATGAGGACTTAATTTCATTCTTTGTTCCCGACTGCAGCTCAATAGATCACCCTTTGTTCCCTCAAGCACTGGTTACTAAGACAACTATGGCCCTCCTCTTCATCATATAAATGTAGTGACATCCACGCGTTACTATTGATGTATTTAGTGATGATGATCACGTTTAATGGAGTTTTGCTTGGCTTTGATCTTTGGAGATGTGGCTAATCCACTGTAGTTTTTAGCAATCGTAAAATGCCCATCTTAGGGCTACCGTATTTAACTCTTAATATTATTAAGAAAAATAAAAAACTAATATATAAAGCTTTAGTATGGTGTAGAACACCCCGTAATTGTGTGTGGTGTGTCTAACTTTTATTGGATAGATTTTAACTGATGTTTCAGTCAAAAACTCATGATCGGACCATAGAATTTTCTATATATACATAGCGACTATAGTCCAGTCGATTAAGCTATTCAATCAAATTTATCAGCCATTGGATGACAAAAAAATATTTGTAACCACATGATAAAAAAAAAACATGCAATAAGCAATATAAAGCCTCACACACAATATAATTTGTACATAGGTTGCCTTTTAATATTGCTATCATAAAAAAAAAAAAAAAAAAACTTTCGTCCTCATAATTTAAATCACCCTCTCTTTTAGTTGGGGTAGAATTAAAATTATATATTACCTTCGTTGCACCATATCATTCATAACTAATAAATAAAACCAATCAATTTTCATTTTACTAATTGATGACTTAAAAATATATACACTTTTAGCACATTTCTTACTCACTTCTACTTATAATTAGTGTCAATTAGTTAGGATTAGTTTACTTTGGAAGTGATTTTACAGTTCAGGTATCTCAGAGGGCCAGTGTGGAAAAATAGCATAAAAGATGGCCAAATTGCACAAAAAAGTATCAAAATGGACTGGAACGGAAGTTCTGGAAATTGAGCTCCTGGAGGATCGATCAGAGCTGAAGCAAGTGAAGAAATGCTTGCTATGGAAGGAAGATTGATAGCAGATGGATTCAAGTGGAAGACTCTGCAGTAGCTACCTCAATGGAGGAACAAGAAATGGCAGCTGCTCTGCTGCCAAGTTGCTACAGCAGTTGCTGTTGCTGCTGTCAATCAGAAAGAGCCAAGGCTAAATTCTTGCTACCAAAGGAAGGAATTGCTTCTCCATCACTGCAAGTTATAGCTGCTGCAAGTTGAAAAAGAGAAAGAATGAGAATATGTGGAAAACAGCAGCTCTAATCTGCTACTTACCTGTTGTGACTACTGCTACTGAATTGATAGATTGGCTGCTGCAGTCAGGTGAGAAATGGTGTTACAAGTGATCACAGGAAATAAAGAAGGAAAAGGCTGAAAGATTTAGGCTGAATTGGGGGCTGAAACATAATGATGGAAAGAAGCATGCTGCTGATACTGCTGCTTGCTACTCCTGCTAGTTGAGCTGTTGCGGATTAAAGAAAGAAGAAATAGAGTGTGGCTGGAAATTGGAGAAACTGCACCAGAGAAGAAGACTAAAAGAGAAAGGCAATGATGAGAGGAAGGTGGTTGATTGCGGCTGAAGAGAAAGAGAAGCCTAAGAGAAGACTGCAACTTGCCAACTAGGCAAGTTGCTGAATAAACAAACCTCTACTGTTGCAAGTTGCTGTCTCACCTTTCTGCTGCAGAGAAGAAGGACAGAGCCCAATCAATCCAAGCTTCTCCATATCTCTATAAATAGTCAGCCAATAGCAATTAGAAAAATAAAAGATTGGGCAGTTAGATTTAATCACAAAGACAGTAGTTAGGTAATTAGTTAGTAGATTTGAAACAGAGTAGTAGCAGGAACAAGGAGGCAGACTATCACTTTGTCAAGTGGTGAATACCACTCGCCATAGTGAGCAGACAGAAACTGTCCCTGCTACCATCTTTCCTTTCTTTCCTCTAACCTTTTGATCTAGATTCATGTCTTATCTTTTATACTTTGTTGCTCTCATGTTTAACTTAATAAACATGAGTAGCTAACTCAGTTAAGGGTTCAATCCCTACTATCTTTATGTGAAGGTTTTGATTTAGTTTTCATGATGAGATGTTGTGCCTAGATAAGTGATTTAATTAATCTTTTAATTAACTTGGCCACTTAATTAAATGTGCTTTCATGGTTATGAAGATCTGGAAGGGAGAGCATAACCTTAGAACTGCTTAATCCAGTCTATAACAATGGAGGAAATCTACCCTGCGGTTCCAAACATCATCCGAATTTAGGTGAATGGCATATGCGATCAAAGAGGGCTTAAGAACTCAATGTCTTAGATTAATGAATTACTCTGACTGGGAGGTAAGTGATTTTGATAATCTATGACTCTTTATTTTGTCTGGAAGGAATTATAAAGAATATAAGTGCCTGATCAAACAACTAATCATACACAACAGGATTATTTGAATCAAAACTGGATCATAAAGGTAGGAAGGTAATTGACCCTTCTACCTTTTCACTCTGTCAAGTGACTATTCTCACTCTCCCAGGTGACAATCTGTTCAACTCATTTTCTTTCCTTCTGCACTTTAATCAGATTTTGAGCTGTTGATCGCCGTCTCTGTGGAACGACCCTACTTACCACTAACTAATAGTTTTAAATAGGTTTATAAATCTTTTTTTTTTTGGAAACTGGATCAACGACAAGACATTCACCACTAATCAAACGTGAGAGTAGCAGCCATATGATACATATCTTGAGTTATTTGGAAGAGCTTACCACAGATTATGTACCGATTCAGCCACAAAGCAAGGAATCGAATATGCTGCACATGATCATTGCACGCCTTCAGCAGATTCTCCTTAATATATCCTCCATGACCTCTCAGTTGCAGTGTCCCGGCTTTGGCAGCATCAGCGCCTTCACTGTCTTCATCTATACTGACATCGGCAATGACTGGAATACTTGTTATCACCGCCACATCCAGATGGTTTGGAGTCATAAAACCCCAAGGGAAACAAAAGACGTTGCTGGAACTACTCCAGAATCTCAATGCTACTCTAAGCAGGACCTTGTTCTCGAAAATTCCCATCTGGCAAAATTGAATTAGATCGTATATGTCGGCCTTCTTCCAGGTAGCTGCATGGTGCTTCTCCATTAGCTTGGCTCACTTGTAGAATTCTTGATGAACGTTACCCTTCTCCGATGTCCATGGCCATCCCCGGATACGCCGAGAACTGGTGCACAAGAACCTATGGGGTGGAATTTTTGGATGCAACACCGGGATATATTCACGGAGCGTGGCATTATCTGCCATGAAACTCGGCCCCAGAGAATAGTGGCCCAGCGGTCCATGTGGATTGAGCAGTTCATTGAAATCCGGCGATAATGCCAGCAATTCCTCCGGCTTCACATTCCGAGTTTTCGCCAATTCCACATCAAACTGCACTGTATATTTCTCAGCAATGGCAATTTAGAAAGACTAGTGTTTTTGCAGGTTTGGGATTTGCTTTGGTATAATTGAAAATCAGAAGCAGGAAACGAAGTTTTTGAATTTTGAAATTCGGAAGAGCATATATGAATTGATTGTTGTGGATAAGCAGCGACGTTAATAAGAAGGATACTCCTCGATTCGCGGGATTGGGTTTCGATTTCCTACATTTCTCCCCCCATCGAATTGTTTTGGCACAGATTTCTTCCGGATTTTTTCAGTCAAACTCGTTACATCTGTCACGCCTTTGACTGGGGGGCTACCATACACCATTTTTCAATCCAATTTGTGGGCTACTGCTTATAGATTGATTCATTATTAGTCTGATGGATATTCAAAAGACACATCTCATTGTTAAAATGAGCTGTGCCTTGAGGGGCTTTATGTTACCACAGATTTTAATTAAAATCGAGTCAGCCCAACAAAAGTGGTGAATCGGCCCAATACTGGAAGAAGACCATAGCCGACGCAAAGAAAGGAAATCCATTTCCGAATCAGAGAGGAAGACACGTCGAAAGCCCAACCTGACGCAGAGAAGACCAAATCCAAATTGAAGACGAATTACAATTGTAGCAAGAAACAGGAAATCGGAAATAAAATACAATTGTAATTCGAAATTGCCAACACCAAATTCAATTAGGAATCGGAGATCGCACCGACATAGACGATTACCGAACCCTATATAAAGAAGGAGAAATGGCAACGCAAGACACAACTCATCATCAACAACCACAAATCACAAGATGCAAAACTCTTATCTTTCTTTTATTCTTTTTCTAGCATTCTATTGTTCTTTTTCAGCACTTTTACAAGTCCTTTTATTCGATTTACTCTTTGTAATTTGTTTAAATTCATCAGTTTACAAGTAATTCAGTCTTTATTCAAGTTTGTTACAAGATTTTAAACCTCTTTTCTTTACGCCTAGTCGAATATTGCATCTCACGAATTACACACTTTCGTCTGAGATTGTTTACAAACGTGCATCAGTTCCTACTGATTATTTTCGCACAAACAATTAGATTCTTGCATATATACAAGTCACTTTTCCAAACTACAGTCGATTGAAGACTCTTTGGATGTGGGTCACAAGTAGTCCTAATAAATTTTTGGATTTTTTTTTTTTTAGTTTCGACGAAATGGACATTTTTTAGTAGGGTCGAAATGATAATAATTACTTGAAACCCAATAAAAGAAAAAAGAAAAAAGAAGCTGCTGAACAGATGTTGTAACTAACTAAGGTTTGCACATTGTTCTGGCTTAAATAATTGAATCTCCTCATTAGCTTCAATTCTTGGGGACTTTGCAGTATAAATAAAGAACTTCATAGTTAGGGGATTTCTACCACTCTTCATAAGTTGCCATCCATTAACCTTTTGAATCTTCAACCTAGATAAGAGGTACCAAAAATAAAAAGATAAAAAATGGTGTTCAATGTGTTGATAACATCAAAAGAGATGATCAAGCCATCATCTCCAACTCCCAATCACCTCAAAACCTTCAATCTATCCTTCCTTGATCAAATTGCACCACCAATCTTCATCCCTTTAGTTTTCTTCTACCAAGCTAATCATCATCAATTCCCTGATTCTCAAACATTGCTTAAGCAATCCTTATCTGATGTTTTGACCCAATTTTACCCTCTAGCTGGAAGACTCTCTAGTGACATTCTGACTGTTAATTGTGATGATTCGGGAGCTTTATATGTTGAAGCTAAAGCTCATGCTGACCTCCTGGAGATCATAACAAAGGCCAGCATGGATGATATCAAACAGTTTCTTCCACTTGGGCCAAATATTACAACAGAAATGAGTTCAGGTGAGCCAAACAGCAGCATCATTTTGGCAGTACAAATCAATATGTTTGATAGTGGAGGGGTTGCGATTTCTGTCCAAATGTCTCATCATATAGGAGATGGAGCCTCAATAGTCAATTTCATGAATGCTTGGGCTGCAACTTGTCGTGGTGATGATGATGGTAAGCTTAACTTTTCAGCCATGTTCGATTTTCACAATGTTTTTCCCCACAAAGACTTATCCAAGGAAAGCTTCAAACCCTTTGCGGGCGCAATGTCCAAACAAAAAATCGTCACAAAAAGGCTTGTGTTTGACAAGGAGAAGTTAGCAAAACTAGAGATGGAATTGATGTCATCGCAAGGAGGAGTAAAGACTATTAATCCAACGCGAGTTGAGGTTGTCACGGCGTTTTTATGGAGGCAATTTGTGGACATCGCCAAAGGTAAGAATTCGAAGAAGACGGTTACAACATGGCATGTTGTGAACTTGAGGCTTAGAGTGGATCCGGTTCTTCACAATCGCTCGTTTGGGAACGTGTACATCGTGTCTCCAATAGCCAGACCTCCTGTTCTTGCCGATCATGATCGTCTTAATCTGGTTGATAACTTAAGCAAAGCAATGAGAAAAGTTGATGCTGAGTATATGAAGAAAATGAAAAGTGGAGATGAGTATTTGAACTATCTCAAAGAAGTTGTGGGACAACTATTGAAGGGGGAGATTGAATTGTGTCCATTTACTAGTTGGTGTAGGTTTCCTGTCTATGAAGTTGATTATGGCTGGGGAAAGCCTATTTGGGCTTGCCCTTGCACAATGCCTTACAAGAATACGGTGATCTTGATGAGTACTAGTTCCGGAGAAGGCATCGAGGCTTGGGTGAATATTCTTGAAGAAGATGAAATGAAAATTTCCCATTGATTTTTCATGGACTTGATTACTTAGTTAAATGAATTGTGAGAGAATTGAACAATCTAGTAATTAAGATGTTGTGTTTCTTGAGAGTAGATCCGGAACTAATTTGCACCATAGGAAGTCCATTGGTATGGGTTTTTTTTAATTAAAAAAAAAAGATATGATAAACAAATTGTGGTGCCTAGTGTAACTAGTAGATTTTGGTGATCTGCTTTGTTTCTCTTCTACAAAAAGATCTAGTCTTGTCAAGACCTCGAGTTGTGCTCTTATTTCGATCACATTTAGTGGTCTTTATCGTTATGTACATCTTTTCTTTGAATATTTCCGCTCAAAAATGTTGCCATGTCCTACAAGTTAGAGTTGATCTATTTATTTTGATTATATTTTGAAGTATTTGAGTTCCAAAAATGTGGTCCTATAATAAGGTTCAGAGTAGAGATGTGACAGACAAAGGGTCTTTTAACTAGTATTAACTACAGAAAATTAAAGTAATTAAAATAAAGAATAAACTTTCTAGTATCTAGGACAGAAGACTGATTTAACAATTCAATTTGCAATTACGGACGGGTTATGTGTTTTCTTAATATTGCCCCCGTAACTACCTGAGTTATGTAATATTTCTTTCATAATATTCTTTTCATCCCAAAATTAACAATTACAAAAATTGTGTATTTTCAATCGTTCTTTGTCTTTGTCGGCATTACCTACCATCGTGAAATTTAGTATAGGTCCTAGCACCTATACTAGTAACGATTTGAAAGGACGAAATTAGTAGCAAGATCGCCACTATGCTGTTTAACACGTTTGAAACAACACCCAAAATCAACGCCATCCACTACATAAAGAATCTCTCCTACCATAATCACAACGACAGGCTTCAGAACAGACAATATTGAATATCACATAAACTCCAGGTCATTTTCTTGTGTTTCCAGAACTATGGTAGCAAGAGCTAGTCTATATGCAGTGGATCTCAAATTTCTTACCAGAACATAAATTTCCTTTCTACCCTGGTGTTTGGGTATGTTCTTCCACTGATTTTCTCTGAGATGAGCAAGCCACGAAACCTCGCAAACAGCTGTCGCCATGGGCTTCTTGCTGTATGACGGCCAGTGAAAAGATTGAGTACATTAGCAATAACCATAAAATGATTTTAGCAACCGTAATTGCACTGGAAAGAACGGTGTGATCAGAAATAAAAAAATTTATTCAATACAAATTGTAGCACAGGTTTATAAGGTCGTAACAGAAAGAGAACATCGGTCATTACCTTCCCTGAACAAAACCAGTTGTAACGAAACCAATTGGTCGCCTAGTGGACTCACTATCTGGCAAATCTTTGAGCAACTGAAATTCTATTATCCGAGCCGGCTGCTGATCAAAACAAGAACTTAGCAAAGATTGAGGTATTTGACATTTTTCACCACCATCCTCGGACCTGCACATTAACAAATTTATGAAGTTATTAGGCTGCCACTATGGTTTCTTTTATGAAATCGGACTATTGTAATGAATGTATTAGTTAGTGTCCTATACTGTCGTGATTTAGCAATAAAGAAAAAGGTTACTTGCAAGACAAACCAAGAATCTAGCCAGGAATCCTTGGACAAACATACACTTCTGGAATTCTGATAAAAACTATAACCTACAAAAAACCCAACCTACAACAACCAACTTCTGAAATCTAGCTGTAACAAAGGCTGTTCTACGCATAAAAAGAGAGTTTTAATATCGCAAATCCCAAGAGCTGAATGTTTTTGGTTCACATAGGATAATGCTTCTATTAGCACCAGAAAGTAACAGAGTTCCTTGAAACGAATTGGAGTAGATTAGAAGAATGCTAATCTCAGAAGAAAAAGGAAAAACAGTTCGGTAATCAAAACCAATTCAAATCGCACATAAGTACCAGTACATAAGCTTCCACTTGCTTCATGCAGGTACCATAGTCCATATTTACTAATGGAAGAAATATGCAACTAATGCACTCATCACATTGTTTCAGAATTTATATCAGGAAAAGTGCTTAAAAAATGACGTCACAATTTTGCTTCAAAGAAATAAATCAATATATTCTAAATTATCTGTGTTAAAGAAAGAGCAAAACAAACAAACAAGTGACAAAACCTAAAATTTGTGGAGTATGAAAATTTACCTGGTTGTTAATAAAGTTATATCATTGGATAGTGGAGCACAGACAACAGCTCCTTCTTCATAAACACCTTCCCGGTAAGCGGACAAATGAACTCTTGCGAAGAATAAGTTTTGACTGCATTTTAAGTTGGAGCAAACACCATTTTCTGAGTGCTCAGATGTTTTCATGTCCTTTAAAACCTTAGGCAACCAATTCTTTCCATCAGCCACTTTTGTGGTTAGGAATAAATTATTACCACCAAAATGGGCCAGGGAATGGATAAGCATAAAGGATGTCCTTGCTACATAGCCATTGAAAGAAACACCATCACAATCCAAAACTGCTGTGTTGCAATACACATTTTTACATGAGAGGTCAGCAACCGGAAGAATATTTGTATCTCTCGCTAGGAGTGATTTTATCTGGGACATACTTTGGACTTGCTCCCAACAAGGCAGAGGTAGGACTCTAGGAGGCCTTAGGGAAGGAGGTTGAAGTTTTGCTTTCTTCTCCTTCATAGTGTCCTCCACTTCAATTTGACGAGAGTAAGCTTTGGTATCAGGAAAGTCTGAAGGAAAACAAGGTAACCCAGCCTGAAAAAAATCAAGGCAACTGTGAATTTTATGGCCCCATACCAAATATAACGCACAAGACATTTGAAAACCTTACTTCACGTGCAATCCAGTGCCTTTCTCTCAATCCAATGGCTTGAGCACCATTGGAAACTATGGCAATCCAAAAGACTTTGACCCAACTTAGTGGAAGAATAATTGACCACCTGAAGAGATTCAAAAAAGAAAGACCATCAAGAAAACATATCCTATTTGTTTGAGTCTCTTTTCAACATGCATAGACTTAAAGCCAACCAAAAGTTTGCAAGTAGAGAGGGTTTCCAAATTATCTTTCACGGAATAACATGACTGTATTATTGCTAGATGCAGTAAATTCCATAAGGAACACGCTTATATACCAGTATAAGCTCCAAAAAAGGGACTTTTGAAACCTAGATTCAACTACAAGGAACACTAGCGCTTTTCTCATATGGTCTGTTCAGACACTTCTGCGATCTTCCCAGACACCCCAAAAAGATCATCTCAAAACATAAAGGAAAACAATTACATGGAAGAATTTCATGAGCCCAAATAGTGAAGTTGGCAATTAAGTTTCCTGTATAATATGAAAATTTAAAGCATGTTTAATCTTCTTGAGTTCAACAAATGAAAGGTAAATGCCCTAAATCGAAAATCATAAATTTTTCTATGCATCCTAAGCTGTAGGGAACTATACCTCGAAAACCTGTCAGAAAGGTTATCTTTAAGAAGCATGATTGGACATAACTGAGAATACTCAGATGATGTGGTCTCTTGTGAAGCATCAACTTTCCCCAAATTTCGATGAGCAACACCAAAGAACTTTAATGATTGCCGATACTTTTCCTTGCAAAGAATACTTTCTTCCAAAGGAGGAAGGATTCCCTTGCGGCTATCCCACAAGTCAGCAAACTCAAGAGACTGGTAGCTTTGTTCAGGCCATGAGAATAAGGATGAAAACGTACCCATTTTTTGTAATTTAGTCCCATCCAAGAATGTATTTCTTTCATTTTCACTTTCATTAGACCCTCCAACCTCTGGTTCTGAAATAAGAGATTTTCCCACAAGCACCCTGGGATCATTCACCATTAGAGAAATGACTGCTGACATCGAAATTTTATCTTCATCAGGAAGGCTAGATGCGTCCTGGAAATGAGTTTTACCATCAGTGCTAGCAACTGAACACTTTTGTAAAGCACAAGAATCCATAGACACACTGCACGGCAAGAAAATGGCAGAAAAGTGAAACTCCAAACTCATAAGATCACCCAAAAACTTCCCCAATTTAGATTTACATGTAGTATTTTAAATTATGTAACCTTCTAATAGGTTGCAATATCTTCCAAATAAGCTCAAATGCCCTGGAACCTATCAGCTCCAACTTCGCAAGCTTGCCCTCAAGAGACATACAAGTTATTAAGCGTCCAGCTGTCTTCAATAGAATGAAGAGAAAAATCGAACATGTCAATAAACAGGTGTAATTGAAAGTGAAAACAAACATTAAAATTAAAAGTACAGTTTGCAGCATTTCAAATGGAGAGTAGGAGAATTTCAGATAGGTTGTACTCTTTTATGTTGGTAAGGACAGCACAAAAGAAAATTAAGCATTTCATAGAAAAGCATCAGCAAAATGGCATGTCATATGTTTATGGAAAACAAAGAACCTGATAGATTTGAGAATAATTATGATTAATCTAAAGAATAAAAATGAAAGAGCAGAATTGTATATTTTTTTTAATGGGATGGTGAGTCGAAGTAAAGTCTGAAAATAGCCTAGAGAGCTAAGTTATTTCAAAAAGTGATCTTACCCTTTCACACTCTGACTGTAAAACACAATATCCTTCACTGAAGGCAGATGGATGTATCCATAGCCACAGCTGCCTCAACAAAGCACAATTGTCAACGCTCTGCTGCTCATCATAGTCACCAGTCTCACCTACTTTACAAACAGAATTTGACTGTCGTGATCTCCACATATAGGTCACCGGAGCAATACTTTTCGAATTCAGTGGCCCAACATGACGCAGCTGAAATGACATCAGAAATTTCAAATACAGCAGAAAATAATTTACGGACATCAAAATCTCAGCAAGGAAACCTACCATAGCAGTACCATAAGTTCCACCAGAAATTATATTCTGGAATGCCTCTTCACAATTTCCTGATGGAAAAGGTACCAGCACGGAGCTTAGAACTGATAATAAAAGATCCTGAAAACATAAGTGTCATGATCACGAATTCCCGAAAAACACAGCAAAGCATAGGCACAAGCGCAGAATTGAGCATCTTTTCCAAAACATTCTCTTAGATTTGCCCGTCCCCCTCCCCAGTAACATCAGGACAACATTTCACAAGGTTTTCAGATGTGCTTGCCTCGGGACCATCAAGTAGAATAACACCATAGTAGCTCGCATCATGCACAAAAACTCCTTCTTTTGATTTCTTCAGGATAGCCCGTGATCCCTTACCCCTGCATGAAGCCATAGATTAATACAAAAAGGTTGCAATTCATCTGTTATCAGTCTATAATACAGAATCCAATGAGAAGGTCAAATTGCTATCTTTCGATGCTGGCTAAAATCTGCTTTATCAATCATATCCTCCACAAAATATTTCATTGCATGCAATCCGTCATATAACCAGTTCGTCAAAAGCTGAAAGAAAAACACTGAGGAACTGCAAGTTAAGAAGAAAGTTTTCGTGCAAAGTGAAAGAATTAATCTCATTACCTGCCATGTAGTCCTATAGGAAGGTAAAATCCCCAAAGTTTATCAATCGTGAATCGCTTTGCATGCCAAACATGTGTTCTCAATCTCTTGGTACCATCCCCTGCAGCAGAAAACCCAGTCTGGGGATTCTTCTTAAGTTCAATTCTCCTACGAACCCTGCGTGACAACATCTTCACATCCTTCGGCAGAACACCAGTGCTAACATTATCTGTCTCTCCAAATTTCTGCTTCTTTTTATATCTTCTCCGAGACAATCTGTTGTCATGCCCAGTCGTTCTCCTCCTCTTATTTCTCTGGGCTCGAAAATCATTATCCAAGCGGTTCTTGACTACAGAATGAAGAGCCACAAGCTCAGCAGCTCGAGATTCTGCAAATTTCTGCACATTAAGAGTTCGAGGTGGAGCTGCTGATCTTTGGTGTTTGGTTTGGTCAGCAACCATCTTCTTCTAACAATTTATGAATCAACTGAAATACGACGTTGCTGATCTTCTGCCTTGCTACAGCAGAAGTGTCATGAGTTCAACCTTCTGTTCCTTTGTTAGGTTTGACTTTCTGGTGAAATTAGTGAACCCAATCAAAATCAGAAATACACCCTAAAAACTTAATCTTACGAAAAGTATGCAATTTTACATTCCTGCCTGACTAGCTTAATATTTCTAAGCAATATACTCCAGTTTTCCCTTTTTCCCCTCATAGATACATAAACCAATATAATAAACCGCTATGGCACAACTTTGGGAAACCTGAGAATATGTAATCAAATTAAATGAGATTGAACAATGACAACCTTGCAGCAGTCAATATCAGATAACGTATCTGGAAGTTGACAAGACAAAATCCAAGCTACCACTATGCAACAAACTATCGTTGAAGTAACAAGAAAACAAAAAAAAAAAAAAAAATCCATAAGAAAGCATAATTCAAACCCCAGAAATTCCTTAGAAAGAAATACTATTACTCTAGAACACAAGGACACAAATTGCAGCCCATTCATTGGCAAACACAAAATACAATCCATACAATGAAAATAAACCTGAAAATTTCCCCTTAGAAGGTGAAAAAGAGACTAGGACGCGATAATTATACTACATAATCGAATTTCAGAGTTGCGTTATACAGGAAGTGAATAAAGAAATCAATTTCAGCTGCCTAAACTAAGCACTAGAAATAATACAGCACCGACGGCAGCTCAACAGCAAAAATATCACCAGAAACAGCATAGAGTTACTCAACGATCAAATTCTCAGCATGAATTTATCGGGGAAGAAAAGAAATTACAGTTTAGTCAAGCTAACAAGCAAAGCCAAAATTATTAATTCACCTCGAATTTCAAATCTTTCTCCCTAGCAAGCGAAGAATAGAAACCGGAATCTAGAACGTGGAATCTTTTATTGCGTTAACTTTCAAGGCCCAAAGCAAACCTGGCGGAGATGGCGGAACAGCGGCGGGCTTGGGCGGTGGCGACGGCTAAAGTCAGGGGAAGGAGGGAGACGTATTTAACTTTTTGGGCGAATTAAATTTTACTCCCCCAGTTTTGGCTCGTTACCATAACAAACCCTGATTTTTTATAATACTATAATCAAAACCCCCTATTCTTTGATCCCACTAACGGAACAGGCCATCGTCATCAGAAAATGACATAACATGCTGACCTCATCAAAATTTCAGACTGATTTGTCAAAAATGCCCCGCTGTAATTACGATCCAATATTAAATAATTTTTATTCACAAAAATATAATTTAGTCATGTTGAATTTTGAAAGCCAAAAGAAACAAGTTATTCACAAATCTGGTTTTATCAGACAAAAAACTTCATACAGAATTGTAAGTAGAATAAAGAATTCCTTAGTTATTCACAGATCTGGTTATACCTTAGTTATCAGCTATCCCCACACAAGAATAAAGAATTTGCTGAAGTTCTTCATTCAACTCGCTAATCACATGTACTATCATATATTAGTCAATTCAATTAGTAGTATTGACAAGAAAGAGAGTGAGTTTAACTAAATTTGGTTACTTTTAATTTATTTGATCAACCCGATTTCCTCAATACTATAAAGTAATTGACTCGTGATTTGTAAGGATTGAGATTTTCCAATTTTGTGTCCTATCTTCACCATGAAATTATGCTCGTGAAAATATAAGATAAGTAGAAAATTTTTCATTAAATTTATTGAAAATGAGAGAAATCTTTAATTAGGTTAAATATTTATTGTGAAAAAAATAAATTAAAAAAGTATCTTCATATTTATTTTTTTAACCGACTAAAATTTTGCCATTAGTGAAGTTTAAACTACACGATGGGATAGGTTTGATGTAACTTCTCTGTATTTTCTCTCCGATTTGGGTACAAGAAAGGTTTTTTTTTTTTTTTGGATACAATAAAGGCTTAGAAACTATACATGCAATTACAGTATACTATTATATTATCGGGACAAAGACGCTTGTGTCATAGTATAATCAGTTCAAAGTTCAAACAAATGTCATCCAAAATCGGAACTACTCGCTTGAGTAGTAATTTGCTGCAATGATGACATGTAATTTGATTTCTACAGTACTGTAAAAATAGGTTATGTGTAAATACATATGTTTTATTGTCTCAAGTTCCTAATAAAATGACCCTTTCCCATTTAATCTCATGTATCTTAAAGTTTTAAACCATGCATACATTGATATACCATTAAAAAAATGATCAATAATTAACTTAATTTGAAGCTAATAGCACACATGATTTGACGGATTGTTGTCATGGAAACATCTGTGATGATGGGCCAACTTCGGAAAATAATACTAATATTAATAAAATTAACAAATACATGACTCTACAACAAAACTTCAACTTATAAAACATATATATATATTTTTTTTATATTACAGAGTATCCACCGACAACAATAATTAACTATATATTTTCAATTCACTCATGAGACATCAAGCATTTCCTGTTAACTCTTAAGATCATTTCCTAATAAAATGACCATGCATACATTAATATACCATTAAAAAAATGATCAATAATTAATTTAATTTGAAGCTAATAGCACACATGATTTGACGGATTGTTGTCATGGAAACATTTGTGATGATGGGCCAACTTCGGAAAATAATACTAATATTAATAAAATTAACAAATACATGATTCTACAACAAAACTTCAACTTATAAAATCTATGTTTCTTTTTCTTTTTTATAGTACAGAGTATCCACCGTCAGTAACAGTAACTAACCATATATTTTATTTTCAATTCTCTCACGAGACATCAAGCATTTCCTGTTAACTCTTAAGATCATTTGGATTCGTACCATTTCTTTTGTTTGTATTTTTTCCTTCTTTCCCCCCTTCTTTTCCCATTTTGTGAACGCCAATATGTTTAGTATGAAAAAGCCATCAACCAAGTTCCCACCCATAGAAAATTGTCAAGAAATTTCCGGCGACCGCCATTCCGTTGCGGCGGACTTGGACGGAACCCTTCTAATATCAAACTCATCGTTCCCATATTTCATGCTTGTAGCCATTGAAGCCGGAAGTTTCTTACGTGGGCTAATCCTCCTCCTCTCCTATCCCATCCTAGCCTTTACTTACCTATTTTTCTCCGAAGCTTTAGCCATCAAACTCATCATTTTCATTTCCTTTGCCGGGCTTAAAGTCCGGGACATCGAAGCCGTGTCCCGGGCGGTGCTTCCCCGGTTTTACGCCGACGACGTGAGACAGGAAAGCTTCCAAGTGTTTGATAAGGGCAAGAGGAAGGTGGTTATTACGGGGAGTCCAACCATAATGGTTGAACCATTTGTGAAGGATTTCTTGGGGGCTGACAAAGTGCTTGGAACTGAAATTGAAGTGAATCCTATGACCAACAAAGCCACCGGGTTCGTGAAGAAACCCGGGGTTTTGGTCGGCAAGTGGAAGAAGTTGGCTTTGTTGAAGGAGTTTGGTGAAGATCAACTGCCTCATATTGGAATCGGAGATCGGGAATCAGATCATGATTTCATGTCCGTTTGCAAGGTTAGATAAGTTTCTCTCTTTAAAATTCAATTTCTTTTCTGTCTCAAAATATTTTTCCAATTTCTTGTACTTTTTCTATTTTCCTACCTAAAAAATCACGTGATTAATTTAATGTTCACAAACATTTATTTACATATAACATGAATTGTTGGCTTATAATCAATATTACTTCCTTCGTCTCAAAAAAGAAATTCATATTATAATTTGTGATTTATAAATTTTTTAGCATAAATTTTAAACTATAATAACTATTTTCATTGGGGCGTAGGAAAGTAGTTGATATATATCATACAGTAAACCACCTCTAATTTTGAAACTTTTTGCACTTAAAACCATCAGTGTTAAGCTACAAGTTTATGTAAAACTTCTCTTATAGAATTTTTTTTTTTTTTTTAAACCTTGGTTAATAATAATGATGTAAGTGGTGGGAGTCTTTTTTTCACATTTATGTGCATCCACCACGGTTGACAAAACAATATTAAATGATGCCTTTGTTTAATTTCCTTGTTATGCATGATGGACTGGACTGATTATCTTACTATATTCTCTTTTTTTTTTTTTTTTTTGAAGGAAGGATATATGGTGCACAAAAACAAATTGGCAATTCCCTTGCCGCATAACCGACTCAAGACTCCATTAATTCTTCACGGTGGCCGGTTGGCGAGGCGGCCGGACCCTCTCAACGCCCTCATCTTCTATCTCTGGTTGCCATTTGGATTTATTCTCTCCATCTTCCGCATCTGCCAGTCGCGATGAACCTTAAAACCAACATGTGCCATGCATAACCTGTGAGATACAAGTTTTGGGACCCATTTTGGTTTGATGAACCCTCAAATCAAACAATCGAAGAAATGTTTCTTGATTCAAAGTCTGAAAAGGCCGGTGAGAAGCAAACGATTAATTGAGGTTTGAGGAGGCAAATCAAGTTTAAAAAGTGAGGTCTTGGGATTTTGATGTTTCATATGGTGGTATTATTATAATGTCTTGTTTTTGTACATTCATGTTTGTAATTGTGTCTATGATTTGTGTTTGCAAATGTATAACTCGTGCGTCTGTTAATTGTTGTGTGATGCAATAATGATATTTTTGCTTTTTTCAAGCGATTCTAAAATTAGATGGATGATGCATATCAAAACAAAAGTAATGATAATACACATGCAACTCATCAAATTCATCTAAATATTTTTCGATGGATCTAACTTATTTAAATAAGTACTTCCTTCCCTGGCTTTCCAATGTTGTGATGATATGATCTACTCTTAACTATATACATATATATATATATATGAAAGATTACGCTGAATTAATTCACGAATACATTTATTAATATTACGTTTCAATACTTGGGAGAGTCACTCGGTGCTTTTAGACCTTGGTCTATCATGATATATTTAGATTAGTGTAATCAATTAATGTGATAGTTTTGTTCTGAGTGTTTAGTCTCTTGTTGCATTGTGCCCCCAAAAAAAAGTAAAAGAACAAATGCCCTAGAAGTTGAGAGAATAATATGGACATTGAGGACAATTACGGGTACATATTTGTAATTAAAGTAAAATAAAAGGGGCGCTAGTGTCATCTTCTGGTAAATTCTTAAACCCTCCCTTCTAATTCTTAAACCCTTTGCTTTTTCATAATTGACGCAAACCGGCCGACCGTTTAATCTGTTAAAAGTTCAACCGCCATGGAAGAACAAGCACCACCACTTCCGCCGCCGCTCCGCCTCCTCCGTAGCTTGGAGCTCCGCCTCCTCCGATGCACTATCCCCTCCGATTCACCTCCCTCCACTTCCTCTCCGCCTCATCATCCGACAACAATTTCCCATCTCCAACCATTGATTGAAACCCTTCTTCAGTTCATAGAGTCCGGGAACTATATCCAAGCCCTTTCTTCCGACGCAGCTAAGTCCGTTTTCAAATTCGATGGCTCGGAAGTTCAGTTTGCCGACTCGGCCGAGTCGGCGGAGTTGTTCTACTCCCAGCTGGTGCCTCAATGCGTCGACGTTTTTATTGTTTCGGAAACTTGCGACGAGAACAGCCAATTGGAGCAGTGCTTCAGAGGGTTTCTTGTTATGGCTATTGGAGTTGCGGCTTTTTTGGCTTTCACTCAATCCAATATTACGGGGTATGTGTTCTGCTGCCTTGGTTCTCTTTTTGTTTTCAACTATTTCTAAAGCTTTTTAGACCTCTTGTGGCTACGATGCCGCGCACAATTCTGATTAATATTTGTACGAAATTAACGAGTTGTGGTTTCGAGTAATCGAATACCTTTGGAAGTTTTGATTATGTTGCTGATTTTTTTTCTCATTTGACTATTTGTACTAAAAATTTAATGGAAATGAAAGTGGTTGTTGAAAATCTAGGATAGAGACTCATTGACGTGGAAGTTTAATTTGGTTGACTGAGTGAATACTTTGTTGCAAGAACCTTCGATTTGTAATAACCATGTTGGTTTTTTGTCTGTTGCAGTCCGGTTGAGAAATTCCCTGCATCGCCATTAGTGCCAGTTGGTGATAATTGGGTGGAATGGGAAGCGTGGGCGATAAAGGATATCATGTCATTTGGTTCAGATGTACAAGGGAAATTCTCTAATCTTCAGGTACTTGAACTCGCTGGTGTCAGTTTTCGTTGTTAATTATATATCTATCTTTGCTAATTTACTGTACTGCTCTTTGTTTCAAATGCTGGATGAAAGCATGTACGACTCTGCTTATATACAGAAAACGGAGGGGCAGAAAGTAATTAGTGAGATTTTGTTAGTTAGATCTTTGTTGCAAGAATATGAATATGCATGCTAGTTCGACAGTGATGGATTTGTATAAAGTTCATGGTGTTTTCGCTGATTCTTTTGTCAATATTTTGTTGGCTTCAGCTTCGGCGTTCACAACAAGTTAGCCTTTTATATGTTAAATTATGCAATCAGTTACTAATTTCTTCAAGCGTACCATGCACGGCAATACAAGTCAAACCTCCGTTTCAGGGGGACTTTACCTTGTGAATGTTTTCTTCTTCTTCTTTTTTTTTTTCTTTTTTCTTTTTGTGAAAATATTACAATACATTCAAAAAGGCTCATCTACCAAAGATTTTGACTTTGTGGTCTTCATTAAATGCCAAGAGATATTGTGTTGGTGCCAATAAAAAACTTTTTGCAGTAAAGGAAGCTATCACTTCCTCTTCTCGTTTTGTTCTATACATGCCTTAGCTAGATTTTCTGGATTGTGTTGCTCTTGATAGAATTGAATGAATGAAATAAAACATTGGATTTTGGAGTATTTAACCACACTATCTGAAAGAATACAGTGAAAAATGAACATTTTTAAGTGCACACTGATCAGATGTTCTATCTAGTTTTGATGTTATTGACTTCCCAACTCCAATCATTAAAGAACAGTTATCTCAGGAAAATTTGGAAGAAGGGAGGGGAGTGAGGAATATGTTAAAAAAATACCTTTACTGGTGCGCTCTGCTAGAGCTCAGTGGTGTGTCAGTCTTGTAAACTAGTGAGCGGCTGTTTGGCCATGTTCTGATTTTTTGTAAGCTGATTGCCAGGATAGGCTTTCTTAAGCCTTTGGGAATTAATGATTGCTGGAAGTGTGATGAAATAATGGCATTTTGTTTCATCAATCTTATTATGTTGGTGCCTTTAAACAATGATGATGCAAGTTTTAGATGAATACTTATGCCCTCCTGTTGTAATATTGTTCAATTAAGCACAATGTGGAATTTGATAAAACCTGGTCTACTTGATGCTTGCATTATGTTGAACATAGTTTTTGCAGGCCTTTCTGAGTTCGCTTTGACCGCGTTTTTATCTTACTGCAGCATTTAGTTTTTGCGAAGGTACTACTGATGAAGACAAAGGACCTATTGCTGCATAAGAGCATCTCCACTGGTGCAGTAAGAAGCATTTCTTGGTGGCTTTTGAGGTTGCTACTCGTTCATCAGAAATTGTTGGACAGTCTTTCATCTTCTTTGTTTGATCTCTTGCAAGTATCTTCACGTGAAAGTCTGCATCATTTTGGTGCTCTGGCAAATGTAAAGAATTATTGGGGTCTAGAGTTGTCAGAAGAAGATGCTTCCAGCATGGTATCTGTACTTCATTTAGAAGTGGGGATAATGGAACTCATATATGCACGGGTAGATTCCTCCGGGTGAGTCATCGTAATAACGGTTTACAGATATAGTTGAGCTATCTGAAAATTGATTGAATACTGTAGAATAATATGTTGTCACACAAATTCCTCAGTTGCGGGGGAATATTCTTAGTGATTTTCTTACTGTTTTTCTTTGATGAAAGCACTATTATGAATCCGAATCCATTGACTTGAAACCCAGCCTAGAAACTCAGAATACACCTGTCTGTCTGTACATAAATATAGTTGTTCTTCTCTTAATGTTGTTTTTGTTGGTTCTGATGATTTTTAGTTTGGTTATTGTGATAACATAGTTATCATTGAAGGTCTATTTGCCTCTTTCTGATTTCAAAGATCTTATCATGTATAGTCATTTTAAATATTTATTTTCAGATCATGTTCCCTTTATTCCTTCTTTTATTTGAAGGTTTGGAATTGGGACTCGATGAATCAATCTTTTCCCGTGATTTTCTTCATTATTTAAATTGATTGTCTCTTTTGTTTTTGTTTGTAACCTGTTACATCAGGCTTCATTTTGAATTAGCTGAGAAAGAATCTGGACTTGACCTTTCCCTGAGTGGGGCTTTAGGGTTCAGGACTAAGCACCAGGTATAATATTCTAATGCACGTACTCATTAGATTTGGTTTTCTACACCTTTGTATTTCTCTTTTGTTGTACTCACTTGGTTGCTCTCCTGATGAACATGTATAGGTGGAGCCAAGGCCTCAGCTGATTCTTGTTTCACATAAAAGCAATAATGAGGCCTCTTCATCTGTTAGCAATGGGATACAGGGTAAAGTTTCTAGTTCTGGTAATAGTACTTCACATCAGCATCCTTCTGAAACGTTGGAAGCATCTGATGTCTTGATGGCCCCAAGATTTTTAGATGACGGAATAACTGAAACCGATGGGCAATCAGGTGAAGTTCTTAATATTGCTGCTACTCAATTGAAGGCAGTCCAGCAAGCTGTTGTTTTGGCACATTGTCTTGCTATTAAGAAAGCTGCTCGAAGTGAAGAATATCAAATGTACAAATTGGGACCATTTATACAGGCTATTGATTCTCAGCATTCCTCACATTTTATGATCCGCTATTTTTGTGACATCTTACGGATCCAATGGGAGGCAACACGTACACGTACCATTCAGCGTGCACTTTTGATGATGACCAAACTTGTTGAAACTCTGAATGAACCATCTCCCACAATTGCAGAAAGGATGTACTTGTGTTTCGCTGTAAATAGTCCCACAATTCCAGCAGTCCGTAAAGAATATGGTGATCTTTTAGTAAGTTGCGGCTTGATAGGAGAAGCTCTTAAAGTATATGAGGATCTTGAACTGTGGGATAATTTAATAGTTTGCTATACAATGTTAGAGAAGAAAGCGGCAGCCGTGGAACTCATCAAGACGGAATTGTCCAAGAGGCCTAAAGACCCAAGGCTGTGGTGTTCCCTTGGTGATGTTACACTCGATGAAACTTGCTATCAGAAAGCCCTTGAAGTCTCTGACAACAAGTCAGCTCGAGCTTTTCGATCTCTTGCTCGCAGTGCATACAATAGGGGAGACTATCAGAAGTCCATGGTTTTCTGGGATTCTGCAATGAAAATTAATTCCTTGTATTCAAATGGCTGGTTTGCACTTGGTTTTGCTGCTATGAAGGCTGGTGATTTTGAAAAGGCACTAGATGGTTTCACTCGTTGTGTCCAACTTGATCCTGAGAATGGAGAGGCTTGGAATAATCTAGGTTATCTACACATGAGAAATAAAAAAAGCAAAGAGGCATTTGTTGCGTTTAAGGAAGCATTGAAGTTCAAGCGAAAAAGCTGGCAGCTGTGGGATAATTTTAGCACTGTAGCTACAGATATTGGATATTACGGGCGGGCAATAGAGGCTGTACAAGAAGTGTTGGATTTGACAAGTGTTAAACGGGTTGATGTTGGTTTGCTCAAAAGAATAATGCTGGAGATTGAAAACCAAGCTGCAAATCTACATTTGGAAACCGAGGCAAATATTGATGGTGATGATAACATGCATGATAGTGCTAACTCTGACATTGATTTTGTTCAGAAATCAACAACATCAGAAGAAGGTGTGGCTACCAAGCGGGAGTATGAGAACTTGATGCACATGTTTGGCAAGATTTTACGGCAAATTGTTCAAAGTAATGCAGAAGCAGAGATTTGGGGTTTGTACGCTCGATGGCACAAATTGAAAGGAGATCTTAGAATGTGTGCTGAGGCCCTTCTTAAGCAAACCAGAGCATATCAGGGATCTGATTTGTGGAAAGACCGAGAACGGTTTGTGAAGTTTGCACAAGCATCATTGGAACTCTCTAAAGTTTATCAGGAACTTTCTCGTCAAACTGGTAGTCAGCGAGAATTATACACAACTGAAATGCATATCAAGAACATAATTAAGCAGGTGAGTTTGTATTAAACTTAAGATACATTTGATATTGCTAGCAAATTAGGAGTATAGTTTTTTGCTTAGTGCATTTTGATTCGCATTTTTTTGGCATGTGAAGGGTGATTTTTTTTTTTGTGTTGAATGCTGTGAACTAGATATTCTTCCTTGAAAGTACTGACAGAAAAGCTTCTTCTTTTCATATCCAGGGTGCAAGCTTCTCTGATACCCAAGAGTATCAAGATCTTTTGGCAAGCCTCGCTGAAGTCCAAAAGGCATTGCAAAATGATTCAGCTCAATAGAGATAGTGTTGTAAACACCTTGTCAGCCACAGGAAAAAGTTCTCATTACAATCCCTATTCGCAGCAGCCAAAGCTAGATATTTCTCAGCCATCAGCTTCGCACCGTATGGTTTCCAGCTCTCATGATCGGATTTCCATGTGTAATGGTGATTTTTTTGATTCCGGGAGAGTATTTTCTGATTGTTAAAGTGGAAATTAATGTATTCTGCTCATTTGGATGCATACCTCTTCCCTCAAAAGATAAAAGGTCCATGTTCGACAAGAGGTTCCCAAAATAAACAATGGTGATTGGCGACGCATCCGGAATTTCATTTTTAATACAACTATACTGACATGATATTGAAACAATTATATGCTTCTTTTTTTTTTCACTTTTTTTAGTAGGTTGTAAAATTTGAGTCTGATTATTATTCTTCTTTACCATATCGTAGTTCTCAAATACAATGCTCTGTTCCTGTCAGCTCACACAACAGACTGTAACCTAGGCTGAAATAGCAAATTTTATGGGGAAATTAATCTAAGGTGAGCATCCAAGATTTATGTTTGACAGATCTGTGCTATGATTCAAGATGGAAAGATGACTCAAATAATAAAAGTTTCCCATCAAAGCAAGAAAAACATGACAAATCTCTGTCTAAACAGCTCCACAAGATAAAGTTGTAATGTAAACAACCTAACTACGACTAGAATTAGAACACATCTTGACGAGTTTGATATAGAGATTAGAAGTAGGAGCATCTCTATTTTCAATTTTGTTTGACATAGAGATTAGAATTTAGAAGCAGGAGCATCTCTATTTTCATGTACGGGCGGCACCAGGGGCTCCACCAGCACGAGGAGGCTGACCAGGCTTTGGCAGATCATCCTGCATTGGGGAAAAAAAAATATCAGCAAATTAGATAAATAGTGTAGGACTCCAGAAATTGGCAAAGCTGAGATTTAGGAAACGAAGCCAGACGACAGAACAGTACTGATTCAGATTAAGACATCAGAACAGTAATAGCAGTTAATCTAAAAACATGTCAAAACCCAATCACTTGGTTAGCCATTGAAATAGTAATAGTAACCCTTAAGGGAAACCATTATTCACCGAGAAAGGTCACGGAGAGGTTACCCTTGGGCGTCTGAAGCGCTGTGGAGGCTCACGGATCCTCCTGTCAGTTCGTGAACGAACCCTAACAACCTTGGAGTGAATGGCACATGAAACACAGTACTGCATCTTCAGATATAGCTTGGGGAGTGTATAAGCTGAACAGATAACCAAGAGGTGAGAAGATATGATCAAAGTTCAAAAAGGACATTTCGTCATCAAATAAGGTCAAATTTGAAGCTTTACTTTCAAAAGCACAAGCTTCTTGAACATCTCTAACAGCAGCCTGTTCAACGATGTTCCTCACAAGAAACCTCTTGATGGCCTTGTCCTAATGGAATATCCAAAATCAAATTCGAAGTGTTAGAGCTTACACCATTTCTCAACTAAACAATGTGTTTGATTAAAGGTACCATTTACAAGCCTGAACTTGAAATCAGAGACTTCATCCTTTACCACAAGGTGGAGTACCACAACAACTATGATACAACATACCTCTGGTCCAATAAACACTATGCACACATCACTATCAATGCTTCACAACCCAAATGAAATTAAACACACACCCAGGGACCATTTGCAGTTTCAATACAGCATTCTTACATCAGATGCAATTTTCAAACCTTGAGGACTAGAGAACTGCTTCGAGCATACCCAAAATCACTCAGAAGCCGTAAGTGGATTTCTTAAAGACTTAAATTTCACAACATATCAATTGAGGAACAAACCAAACCCAATCATAGCTCACATCCAAGAGTACTAATCAAAATGCAAGGGCGCAGAACAAATATCCATATCAATCCAAATTGAATTAATCAAATCATGACATTCGCGTTTACATGTCTATATTATCTCACAGGTCAAATCCAAACTCTAATCCATACAATTTCTCCCTGAAATATACACATCGTGGATGAATTAAGCTGAGGCCTTCAGAGATTTGAAACAAACAACAAAAGCTAAGCAAAAATGAACATTCTCGTGCGGATCCGATAAGTAAATTTCACAGAAACACTCAGATTACAAAAAAAAAAAAAAAACTCATGAAATTCAGAAATAGGCAAAAACAGGGGAAGAATCGGACCGACCTTAGGGCAGCATTTGCCGCAGTTGGAGCACCGGATGAACTTGACGTGTCCACGGCCATGCTTGTTGCGGCCGCCGTTTCTTCGCTTGAACGTCTGCAACCGATGTCGGAAAAAATTCTTACCAGATACTAGTAATAAAAGGAAAAGCAAATCATACATACCAAAATTAATCAGAAAATTAAAGTAAGAGCCATCTCTACCATGATCGCGATACGACGGAGGAAGCTTCAGGTAGACTCCGGGGATGAAAGTTCGGCGGCGAGGCTATGGAAAATAGTATCGGCGAGGAGAAGGAACTCTAACCTTTGAAGTTCGCTAAGTATAAGATGGCGTCTTTATTAGGGTTTCTCACTCCATTTGGATTTTACCTCTCTTCTTTGGGGAAAATAAAAAATGACTGTAATAATATGACACAGTAACTAGAAAAGTAACTTTTCTGTAACACGGAATGTAACACGTTTTTGTCACGTATGGGAAAATTCCATAAAGCTAGATAGGTTGTTTTTTAAAATTAAAAATAAAAAAAATAAAAATGATGAGGTGGGAATTTAGTTATAGCAATATTAACAATTTTCGTCTTTGGTATCTTTACATAAAAACATTCTTGACAGAGTTCATTATTTAGATTTCGTATGATATCATAATTTTGATCTTACAATATTATCTCTACTTTTTCAAATTTCAATTTGAATAACAAACTTTTTTATGCGTAAAACCTAGAAAAAAAAACATTGATTTTTCAGCTATCTTTTATCTATATACTATACTAAAGCAAAAACCAAAGAGAGAAAACTAAAGACATGGAGCACATGCCACACAGGATTTAATCCTATGTGGTATTTTCTTAATTTCTTAGACTTAAAAATGCACAAAACAAAAAAAAAAACAACTAAAATAATTTTTTTAAAAAATAAAATAATAAAAACCGAACCCTTATTTTCATGAACCAACATAGATTGATTGGAGAGAGTACCAAATCCTAACAAATTTTAGAGAGATCTGCATAAACCTTGTTACCAGTGAATTTAAAATGTCATTTGAAAAAAACAAATTCCTGTAAACCCAGAGGTAATCATGTTTAAAACTGAAATCATTACATATTTTATAAAAATACAAAATTTATATAAAAATGTCTAAATGTGTATGCCTTCCCCGTCCATCGGAGGGGTCTAACACCTAGTTGTACTTATCTAAAGTGTAACAAATATGACAATTTACAATCCTCCCATTTTATTGTAAATTTTTCGTCCCGCATCCCCCTCCTCCCCATCCCCACCCAAAAAAAGTGAGTATAATTCTTCTTTCGTAATTACTTTTTACCCAATTTATATGTCCTACACTCTTATTGGACAATCTTACTTGGTATACCTATATGAATAACTAAACCCGTGCGCACAATCCGTGTGAACTAGCAATCTCCGGTATCAGCAAATCCCGCTAAAAGTACAAGATGTTTTTTTTCTTTTTTTTTTAAATATTAATCAGAAGACTTAGAATAGAGGAATTGTGTTTTATTCATAACATGTAATGCACGATATACAGACTATATATAGACAATAACAAACCCTAAACTAAGACATAATAGGAAATATACTAAATATTACAATACGTCCCCGCAAACTTACGGCAGAGAAGAGAGAAGCCGAAGTTTGTCCCGAAACTGAAAGAATAACTCTTTGGACAAGGGTTTTGTCAGAATATCAGCAAGCTGATCAGCAGCAGAGATAGAATTGACCGAAACAAACTTACGCCGAACATGATCTCGAACAAAGTGAAAATCAACCTCAACATGTCTTGTACGAGCATGGAACACAAGATTGACAAAGAAGGAAAACCGCACTCATGTTGTCACACCAAATAGAGGGAGGGCGAGTTAAAGAAACGCCTAACTCGGACAATGATGACACACCCAATGCGATTCAAGACAGACATTAGCAACCGCACGAAACTCAGCCTCAGTAGACGAGCGAGCCACAGTGGGCTGCTTCCTAGATGCCCAGGCAATGAGATTGGGTCCCAAATAAATAAGAAAACCAGTAGTAGAACGACGATCATCCGGACAACCAGCCCGGTCAAGATCACTAAACGCAGAAGAGTACCCAAATCAGTAGGATGCAGAACTAAACAGCAATCAACGGTACCACAAAGATAGCGAAGAACCCGTTTGAGAGCCTGAAAATGAGAAGTGCGAGGCTGATGCATGAACTGACAAAACTGCACACTGCCACATAGCCGACGATAATTAGTCGCATCATCAGGAGACAACAGAGTACCATCCAAACGAGACAACACAACATTAGCCTGCAAAGGAGTGGAAACAGGTTTGCAAGTATGCATATTTGCAAGTCGTAGCAAATCATTGACATACTTGCGCTGAGAGAGAAGCAAACCCTTGGAAGTACGACGAACCTCGACCCCAAGAAAGTAACTCAATGGACCTAAATCCCGAAGAGAAAACTCCTTAGCAAGACAAGAGATAAAATGCTGGACCAAACCAGAAGTGCTGCCTGTAAGAATAATGTCATCCACATAGACAAGCAAAAAACACAACTGAGACCCACGGCGATAGACAAAAAGAGACGGATCACAACGAGACTCCACAAAACCCAAGGTAAGTAGAAATGCTGCCAGCCGAGAATACCAGGCCCGAAGAGCTTGCTTAAGACCATATAAGGACTTATGCAGTTTACACACATAATGAGGGCGCACCGGATCAACAAACTCCTGTGGCTGAACCATATACACGGTCTCACTAAGAACGCCATTAAGAAAGGCATTACTGACATCAAGCTGAGAAATCGACCAACCACGAGCCAGGGCAACAGTCAAGACCGAACGAATGGTGACCGGCTTAACAACCGGAGTAAATGTGTCAGTGTAATCAACCCCAAAAGACTGAGTAAAACCTCGAGCCACCAACCGAGCCTTATACCGCTCAATAGAGCCATCAGCATGAGTTTTAATCTTATAGAGCCATCGATTGCCGACAACATTGCCGGAGGAAGGAGGGGGAACTAAAGTCCAGGTGTTATTTTTGAGGAGGGTGGAAATTTCATCCTTCATGGCATTCTGCCACTGAGGAAGAGATTTGGCTTGGGTGAAGGATGTAGGAGCAGTAGACAAGGCTGGGGAAATAGAGGTAAGATGAACCGAAGGATCAAAGATTTTCTTGGGCTTGGGTTGTGGACGAAGTGTCATTGAGTGCTGACGGGAAGAGGGGGGAGGAGGTGGCGGCGGAGGACTGCAATCAGATGATGAAGAGCTAGATGCAGGAGACCTAGCTAAAGGTGATGAGTCGGGAGGGATAGGAGGAGATGAAAGAACTGGTGTACTAGAAGGAGACGAAGAAGATGCAGAAGACGACGCAAACATACCAGGAGAACTGGTTACACGCAACCAAGGGGTAGCAGGAGACTCCAGCAGCGAAGAAGGAGAACTAGAAATAGGAACTAAAAAAAACAGCGGCAGCGGAAACGACGACGAACACACGCCGGCGAAGAGCAGAAGAAACGAAGAAGAAGAGCCGAAGAAGAAGAAGAAAAGAAGAGCCGAATGGGGTGTGCACAGCCGAAGAATAAGGATTCGGCGGCGGGGGAGAGAAACGAGAGAGGAGAGAAAAAAATAGGTTTTGTTAAACCTTAGCTCTGATACCAACTTAGAATAGAGGAATTGTGTTTTATTCATAACATGTTATGCACGATATACAGACTATATATAGACAATAACAAACCCTAAACTAAGACATAATATGAAATATACTAAATACTACAATAAGAAGTATCTAATTTATTACATCGACATGAATTATAAGCCATACTACTATGTAAGCCACTCACGTCAGATCTGCTAACTTTAATCAGTTGGCAGGACTCAAAATGCACAATGTTGTACCATCTTTAATAACACTTATCGATTCATTTAATTATTGTGAACTGATTAAAGTTCGCATATCGGATGTTTCAGATGTACAAAATATAGCTTAGTATAAGATGCAACGTAATAGTCCAAGTTTATATTATAATAATATGCAGATATTATTAAAAAAAAAAAAACTAAACTCGTACGCTCAAAATCTTTTAGTAGACTAATTTAATAATGCTTGTAAGTCTCTTTCAGAAGATAAAACTTTCACAATAAGCATATTTAATCAAAGTAGCTTTATGGTTGTCAAAATATACATTTCATCATCAAATATTTCTTTTCTCTTAAACTGATTCATTTTATTTCCTTCATAGTCCAAACATCAGGGTATCACCGCTTTTTCTTCTTTCTTCTGACTATAGCAAAATATCTCTTCACACCTCAAATTCAACAAAATTTTAGAGCTCCAACCAAAAAATCATTAATTGGCACGTACCATCTAACCAAACAAAATTAGTAATAATGAATTCATCCTATCCCAGCAAAGAATCCACTTTCTTAAATTTATACCGTATGAATTTCTTTTGAGAATGATGGAGTAGTTTTTGACCTTTTTCCCCTTTCTCCAATCAAACGAAAACCGTACTCCAATTTACCATAACAACTCTGACTCTCTATTTAAGTTAAATTGCGTAACAATTTGTATCTTTTTTTTTTCTTATTGTAATTCCCTGCCATCCAGTAAAACTTTTTCTCATCATTTCATATAGAGCTTCAATGTTCTGCATCAAAATTTCCTTTCATCTTTTTAACAAGTGAGCTGACAAACTACTGTTTTCATATAAGCAAAAAATTTGGAGTGAATGATTCAGTTTGTTTGATCTTTGAGAGTTACAGAAGCCATTTTGATTGATACTCAAAAAAACCACAATATTTCAGCGGGTCCTGATTAGTTTTCAGGAGGTAGCAGTTTGAAGTCAAAATTTCAGTTTACCATGATGCCGGCAATTCCACCGGAGAGGAGCATTTCTATGTTCGGCAAAAAAGATCCAATGCCGAAGCACATATCCCTCAGGCAGCAGATCAACGAAGACGAAAAGCTGTCGGCCCTGATGACAGCAATCATGGAGGCAGTCCCGAACTTGAAGACGGAACACCGGGTTCGAATTTCCGATGCCGCTGTATGTTGGGCTACCTATCTTACCCACCATCACTTTTCCGGCACTCCTTCAGGTATAACTCTCGCTTCATTTCCTCGAATTTTTTTGAAAACTTAATTTGTTATGAAAAAACAGGACAGAGGAGAGTCCTTAATTTGGATGTATATGCTGTATTTTTCAAATCATACTTTGGATATTCCATGTGTTCAGTAAACGGATTAGATTTTTTTTTAGCCCTGGTAATGTAGTGTGCTGATTTTTATTTTTCTTTTCCCTGGGTGTTCTGTTTTGATTGAGAAGGGGATGAACTTGAAAGGATGGCAATGGATATACTGAACAGTGGATGTTTGTTGCTGAAATCTGAAATCAATAGCCGGGCTGATGAGAAGAGGTTGGGTGAACTGGAGTATGTTTTTACCCGTTATATTGTCGAATCAACTGAACTACTCAGGGAAAACCCCGAAGATCCATGGCTGGTTCGAGTTACCAGGGAAGCTGATGAAGCAAGAACTGTTTTAACTGAGTTAGCTTCCCTGCGTAAGCGTCTCGCATTAGTCTCTGGCACTTGAGATGTCACCGTAAGCTGCAAGATCTGGACGCGGTAGCTGCTGAGATTGAGGAAATTTATGAGAAATCTCAAGGCCATGAGGAAGTTTTGGCAGTTGATCGGAGGCATATTGGACAGGTACTTTTCATTCATTGTAGCATGTTATAGGTAAAAATAACACTGGTTGGTTGTGCTTTGAATCATTTCATTATGGCTTTCATTCTTTTTTGCTTTATGGCATTTCAATACTATTAGGTGGTGAGCTGGTTGATTGGCATTCCTCTTCCATTGCTGCCAACATATGGTTCAACACAACTGTCGTGTTTGGCCAGCCGCCTTTCTGAGAGGTTTGTTTGTCAGGATGGTGCAATCGAGGACATGAACAAGTCGATCTTTACAAATGCGCTTCTCCATCCGGACAGGAAAAAGTGCCCTAGAGCGTCGTTGCTCTTTTTGGGACCCTCTGGGGTTGGCAAAACAGGAATTGCCAAATCCATCGCTGAGGTTTTCTTTGGTTCACAAGACAGTTTGATATGCGTAGACATGTCGCAATTTGGAGAGCTGCGCCTGCAGCAAGAACATTCTGGCTTTCAGTCGATTGCTGAGACCATTCGTGAAAATCCGTACCGTCTTATCCTATTTGAGAAAATTGGTAAATCTAATCTTGATGCAATGAGAACATTCCTTTTAGATTTAATATCTGGCAAACTGAGTGATAAAGATGGCCACCATGCCAACCTTACCAATGTGATTGTTATCATAACCTTTGATGTCAGAGCTAAAAGACTGAGGAGACAAGTCAAGTCTTTTGAGGGAGTTCCTGCGAAAACTAGTGCTAAGGACCGTGCTGTTGAAGAGGTAAATACCCTATTGTCCGATTTTGTAATTTCTTCTCTTATTGTCAATCTAAACTTTGTTAATGACGAGTGCTGACTACTTATTCGACAATGCAGGCAAGAAAAATATTCAGTTCTGAGTTTGTTGAATAATCAAGACACTTCACAGGAGCCAGTACAAGATGTTAATCAAGCATCCAAAGTTTTAGATATTCGGATAGATAAATCAATTGTAATTTAGTTTTGCATAATAGCTTTTGTATAGACCGTTTTGTACAATTTTATTAGTCTAGGGACTTTTTCTGTTAATATTAGGGAATTATAGAGAGTTTGACTTATCAGACTTAGATTGTATATATATCAAAAACTATACTGAACACCACACAGTTTTTCGATGAAATACAGTTGTTTTTTTTTTCCCAAATTAAGACAAACCCTATTTTCCCCTTTTCTAAGATGGTATCAGAGCAGGACCTAGTCCTGCTCTGCCATTTGCTTCCGCACAATCAAATTAGTAGGTTTTGTTGCACACCTGTTTCTGATTACATCTACGGTTCGGTTTCTTGAGATATGGCAAGAAGACGTAAAACGGAGGATGAAGAGTACGAGAGGATTCCGAGGGAGCGATTGCAGTTTTTCGATCCAGACGACGAATTGCAGCTCCATGGATCAGAAACTCCAGGTTCTGTAATAGTTAATTGTCCTCTCAATAGTAAACATTACTTAATTTGGCACAATGCTATGATTATTGCCTTAGAGTCTAAAAACATGTATGGTTTTGTTGACGGTTCATGTGAAATGCCTGATGAAAGGTCTCCAATCTTCAAGAAATGGAGACGAGTGCATAGTATGGTTTTATCTTGGATTAAAAATGCTTTATCACCTGAATTGATGTAGACTTTCAATTTGTAAATGATGCGAGGGAATTGTGGGATGAACTTGCTCAGACTTATGGTGTTTGTAACTTATGGTGTTTGAGTTGAAACGTGATCTTTCTGCAATGAGGCAAGGTGATTTAACTGTTACTCAATATTTTAGTAAACTGAGACATCTTTGGGATCAATTGGCTCAGCTTAGGCCACCTTTGGTAGCTACTGGTACACTTAAAGAGCAAATTCAGGAACGAGATATGGAGGATAAAGTAATGCAGTTCCTTATGGGACTTAATGAAGTTTATGAACCAGAAAGAAGTGCTATATTAATGTTGGATCCACCTCCATCACTGAGGATGGTATATTCCAAGTTGCTTAAGGCAGAGAAGCATAAACAGGTCAATGTAGGAATGTCAAGTACGGTATCAAATGACAATTCAGCAATGGCGGTAAAGACACAGTTAGTGCAGAATTTCAAGAAGGAAAGTATCAAACCACAGGGTCAAAATCTGTAATGGGTAGAGGTGGTGGTAAACCAAGTGTTAACAAGCCAGATAAGAGTCTTCTCGTATGCACAAATTGTCGTAGAACAGGTCACCTCAAGGAGAACTATTTTGATTTGATAGGATATCCAGATTGGTGGAACGTGCCAACACAGAATCAAGTTGTTAAGAGGCAGGCTTATCTGGCAGAGACACCCTTTGAAGAAAAGACAGAAGAAAGTAACAGGTTGCAAGATTTGATTTCTAATGCAGTACAGCAGGAGGTCACCCGATTGATGAAAGGAAAAGGGCACATGGAGGACAATTCTCTTGCTTCAGGAGGATCAGTGCACTATGCTAATCCAGGAGGATCAGTACATTACTTGTTTATGGGTTTCAACAATCTGTTAATGATCATTGCCTCTTTACTCTTGTCACTCCTGCCTATCAGTTGTTTGTTCTGATTTACGTAGATGATGTTCTTCTCACTGGTTCTGATGAAGATCAAATTCGAAAGTTTAGAACCTTTTTAGATGATGCTTTTTTGATTAAAGACCTTGGTATAGCTAAATACTTTCTAGGTATGGAAATAGCTAGGTCATCTGCTGGAATATATGTCTGTCAACAGAAATACATCACTGATATCCTCCGAGATACAGAGATGTTGGATTGTACTCTTGTTGCTACGCCTTTTCCTAAAGACTTTAGGTTTATGGTTAAAGATCCTAGTCTTGTTTTTCCTGATGCTGCTAAGTACAAACGTCTTATTGGAAGATTACTGTATCTTAATTTCACCAGGCCTGACCTTGCGTATATTGTGCAGCAGCTTAGTCAATTTGTCCAAACTCCTTTGCAGTCTCATTGGCAACCTGCACTCCATGTGCTTAAATATCTTGCTGGCTGTATTTCTAAAGGACTGTTTTATCCTTGTGGTACTTCTCTTCAGCCTCAAGCTTATAGAGATGCTGACTGGGGCAGTTGTCAGGTCACCAGGAGATCTTTAACAGGATATTGCATTTTCCTTGGTCATTGCTTGGTCTCATGGAAGACTAAAAAGCAACCTACGGTGTCCTGTTCCTCAGCTGAGGCTGAATACCGGGCTATGGCTGCAACAGCCCGAGAGCTTCAATGGGTAAGCTATATTCTCTCTGATCTTCACGTTTCTGTGGTTTTACCCATTGATTTCTGGTGTGACAATAAAGCTGCACTTCACATCTCGGCAAATCCTGTTTTCCACGAACGCACGAAGCATATCGATATCGATTGCCATGTTGTTCGGATCTCTATAAACAGGGCTTCCTCAAATTGAATCACATCAGTTCTGCTAATCAGCTTGCAGATCTGTTGACCAAGTCCCTTCCAGCTCCCACATTTGATGTTCTTCTTAGCAAGATGGGCATGTCCCATGCTCATCTTGAGGAGGGGGTGTTGAATAATCAATACACTTCACAGGAGCCAGTACAAGATGTTAATCAAGCATCCAAAGTTTTAGATTTTCGGATAGATAAATCAATTGTAATTTAGTTTTGCATAATAACTTTTGTATAGACCGTTTTGTACAGTTTTATTAGTCTATGGACTTTTTCTGTTAATATTAGGGAATTATAGAGAGTTTGACTTGTCAGACTTAGATTGTATATATATCAAAAACTATACTGAATACCACACAGTTTTGATCGATGAACTACAGTTGTTTTTTTCCCCAAATCAAGACAAACCCTATTTTTCCCTTTTCTAAGAGAGTTGCTAAATGCTCTGGACGGAACTATCGTGTTTGATTCATTGGGTCATGAAATTGACAATGTCACTAGGCACATTCTGAGGGAAAGGGTTCGAGCACTGTCTTCTAACAAACTCGTTGCGTTCCCTTCTAAACGTGTTTTGGATATTGTATCCAGTCATTACTTCAAGCAGCAGGTAAGTTTCCTTTTCAATTCAAACTGTTCAGTTCACTTATGATTATCTGACTCCAATTGGTTTGTGTAAATGTTCTGTAAATGAGCAAGTTTGCGAATCAACAGTTTTTATATTTTTCAGGATAAAGGAGCAAAAGCAATTGAGAGTTGGCTGGATGAAAATGTTATGCCTCAGCTAAACGTTGTTGTTAAGAAGATGGCCAACAAACATGGCGTGCCGTGTGCAGTTTACATCGACACCATGATCGGGACAGAAAAACTGTCATTTAGATTGGATGAGACTGATTTAATTGAAGAATGGATGAACCGGCATTTCAGGCTGTCATTCAGGAATTGTAGAAGTCTTTACCAAATGAGAAATGGAACCCTCGAGCTAAGGAACTGTCTCTCATCACTTCCTGATCTGACCGATTATTCTCATTTCCAAAGTCAGAAACTCCTTCTGGACAAAGCCCTGCACGCAATTGAGATTTGCAACAGAATAAATAAAGCTGTTGAGGATTCAAATAAACAGATTCAGAAACTGGTAAAACAAAATATTAGCTAAGATCTGTTCCATGTTCAATGACGGATCTCCTATAATAGCTTATGTGATAAAAGCTTCGCTCCTTAAAAATATGCTTCTTTTTGCAGGATGAGAAATGTTTTAAGTCTGAGTTGGTTTACAAGTTGGATGGAATCATGCTTTTGAATCCTTCGGAGCAGGCTCAAATTAACACCCTCAGTATTCCTTTGAAAGAAGATGGTGTTCTTCCCAAACCAGATCGAAGAAAGACCGGAAAGCTAATCTATAGTCTTTTTAGGGGTAATGCTGGTTCGACTGAAGTAAGTTTTCTTTACATTACGGTCTAAAAATGAGTTCTATGCATCACCAGAGATACTAATGTTGTTCTTTTGTTTCTTTGACTTTACACGCAGGGTTCAGATTTATGCAAGTTTGAAGAGTCTTCGGTGAGAAACAATAAATCAGGGAAAAGCGGCAGAGTATTGATCAAACGTTTGTTCTCTAAACTTTTCTAGTACGGTCTCAATTTCCATTATCAAACTACATTCAACTTATTATTAGATGTATATGATTTCTACTGTTAAAAATACTGAGAGTTTTATGTGTATTAATATATAGCCCCTGTGAACAAGCGAAGAATGTTTACAAGCCGTTGTATTCTAATTTTCTTTGATCGAGCAAAATAACAACCAATCTTAGAGAAGAATTTATGGAATTGGTGCGAGAAAAATGGTCTGAACCAGTAGTGAGTGATTATGGTATGCTAGCTTTTTGTAATAAGCTTAGAAGGCTGAACCAGAAGCTTAATGAATAGAACAAAACATCCTTTGGTGGTGCTTCTATGTATACATCTGAAGACTTTGACATGATGAAGCAAAGGCAGTAACTTGATCTTGTTGAAATGAAAAGATGGATTTTGGTCCGTGTTCTGTATCTTTTTCTCAATGAGAGCAAGAAAACTGTAATTTCATGGAATATGCAGGAGATAGTACTACTAGTAGAATGAGAGAATGGAGGTTGCGGGGAAATCTTTTGACAGTATTGGACTTTGGTAGCACATTTTGCATCTTGAAGAATAAAATCAGAACCAAACCACAAACAAAAAATTTACTGTGAGGTGCGTTCTTATTAATTCATGGGGAACAAACATACAACATTCATAGTTGAGAAAGTAGATGAACCATTTCAGGACGCGGTTGGCAATTCGCAATCAATGGCTGAACTTTCGACAGGCTCAACCCGCTACCCTCTGCCATATCGATCATCTCTTTCCCAATTCTTTCCCAGTGAAAGCACTGTATGATTGAGCCTAACGCGAATCCAACCGTACGCGTCGCTAAGGATTCTCCGGCACAACCTCTTCTTCCTGCCCCGAAAGGCATCCATTTGTAACCATCTTTTGTAACTTGAACACCTTCAAACCTTTCCGGCTCAAATTTTCTTGGATTTTCCCAAATTTTGGGATCATTTTGGATAGCCCACAAGTTTACTAACAGCATTGTACCTTTGGGAACTCTGTAACCTCCCACAACACATTCTTCTGAAGATTGATGAGGTAACAGAGGACCTGCTGGGTACATTCTTAGTGTTTCATTCACAATGCATCGTAGATAAGGTAGATTAACCACATCCGATTCGTCCAACAAACGATCATTTCCAATAACATTGTCAATTTCTTCTTGTGCTTTCTTTAAAGTTGTGGGATGGTTTAGCATTAGAGATAATGCCCACTCCATTGTTACTCGTGATGTATCCGTTCCTGAGGCTAACAAAACCTGAATAAGGCAAAACACGGGTTTAATAAACATGGCAATCAAATCCAAGTATTTGGACACACATTTTTTTTCTTGGAAAAAAAAAAAAAATCGCTCCTCTAAAATCATATGAACAGGCCAGATCCTCAAAGGAATTTCACAAAGTGGCATTATTAATTAGAAAGAAATGGCGGATCCATGAAAGATCTTACTAGCATATAGCCTCTGATGATTTCATCCTTGTAATAGTTAGGCTCTTTCTCTTGCAACTCCAACAGAACTTCAATCAAAGTCTTATGATTTTCTCCTTTTTTTTTGTCCGAATGATCCCTTATCATTTCTTCTTGTCTTTTCATCTTAAACTCATTAATCAGCTCCTGCATGAATCCATCCCTTTTTTGTTGAAGAACCCGCAACTTCTTATCCATTTTATCCAATGTTAACCACCTGTATAGTGGCAAATAGTCCTCAATATTCGAAGGCCCGGCAACTCTCATGGTTTCCTCCACAATCATTTTAAATCGATTCGCCTGCTCGGCCTCCTCGATTTCATCAAGATCCCCTCCGTAATACCTTTTCCCGGCAGCCATCCTCATTATAATGTTTGACAGCAGCTCGAAAAACACGGTTTTCATGTTCACACTCTGTTTTGCTTGGGAAGCAAAATAAAGCCTTCTCAACATCAGCTTCACTTCGTCAACCCGAATCCCCTGAAGCATTTGAAGCCTGTGCGCGGAAAAGATTTCCAGGGAAGAAATCTTCCTTAGATTCCTCCAGTGATCACCGTAAGGTGCCCACACTAGGGATGTGTAATTGTAGCCCAAATGTTTCCCGGAAAGCAGAGCCGGGCGGTTTGCGAAAATGATGTCGTGTTTGTTGAGACATTCCTCGGCTGCCTCCGGGGAGGATACCACTAGGACTTGGCGGGATCCGAAATGGAGCAGGAGTACAGGGCCATAACGGCCGGAAATCTTCGCCAGGATTCGGAAAATCGGCTTCCTTAGAAGGTAAAGATGGCCAAGAATGGGCAAATTCAGGATGGGGCTGGGAGGAAGATTTCGGATTTTGCCAATGAAATGCCTGGTAACCATGTATAAAGCTAGGTAAAGTGGAAGGTAAAGGAAGAAGGTTTCCATGGTTGGAAGAAGAAATGGATTCACTTCTGATGCATCATGTTCATGGTTATGTTACTATATACTCGTCTCAAGATTATTGTCCCAGTGAAAATCTAAACTGGACAATAATTTTGGATTTTGAACTAAAAGTGAAAGTCTAAAATGGACAATAATTTTGGATCGGGACTCGGGAGGAGTATTACACTCGGTTCTTGAAAAATAATTCACTCACTGTAATATTTTAACTCAACAAAATAGATTACTCTTCTAGAAAAGAGATTATATAATAACCGTATTACTGAATACTGGATCATCGAATTTTTAAACAGCTAAACAATTTTGAACAATATTTTTCCATCTTAACTGGGGGTGGTTTAAGCTTCCCAGAAAAATGGCTTTGATTCTTAATTAGTAGTTGACCACAAGCAGATCTTTAATTTGTAATTTCCTTTTTCTCCACCCGCTTTTGTCATGGATGATGTAATCTAAGAGCGACCCAATATTTATTAGAGAGACAGAAGAAGACTGAGTAATCCAAAGTTGTCTTAGCTTATCGTCAACTTTTTTATGTCTCTAATAAATTTAAAAATCCATTGAGGTACTCGTGTTACAGCATAATTTCAGACTTTCGAGTTTATTATTAAGACAACTCCATTGTTCCTCGTGATGTATCCGTTTCCTGAGGCTCGAAATATTCCTGGTCATACAGCTCTCGATAGTGGTTGACACTTGACACTAACCACCACAATGCAAACTAAACACGAGTTTGATAAAACATCGGATTCCAAGTATTTGGAGTTTGGACTAACATTTTCTTGTACAAAAAAAAAAAAAAGAAGAAAAGAATCATGTTCCTCTAAAATCGTATAAACAGGCCAGATCCTTGAAGGAAATTTAAAAATTAGCAAAAGTGATAGATGAAAGAACAATTACTAGCATAGAAAGTCTCGGATAACTTCATCCTCAGGCTCTTTCTCTTGCAACTCCAATAGAACTGCAACCAAACTCTTATGATTTTCCCGCTTTTTTTATGTTTTTATTTTTTCCTGTCCGAATCACTTTCACCCTGATTCTTCATTTCTTCGTGCGTTTTATCTTACACTCAATTAATTGTTAAGGTGTATTATCTTGTCTCACTCAGGAGGTGATATTGCATGAATTTATAATTCATCCCTCTTTTCTTGAAGAACCCAGACAGTGATGGTACCAGGAGTTCAACTCTAGAGGATCAACACTATAACATGGCTTAACTTGTAATGTTAACTCTAGAGGATCAACTCTAGAGGATCAACTCTAGAGGATAAATATATATATATATATATATATATATTTATATGCGTAAAAAATATACTTTGAGAAACTTATTTTAAATAATATTTACATTTAGTTTAGTGCTAGGTAATTGTAACAATAAGGATGAATAAAATAAATATTTTATTGTCAAAACCATCCAACTTTGTAAATTTTATGCGTTAATTAACAAAAAATATAAAAATTACATTTCAAATGTAAACAATACATTTCACCAAAAATATAAGCCGGTAAACAATTTTGAACAATATTTTTCCATCTTAATTGGGGGTGGTTTAAGCTTCTCAGAAAAATGGCTTTGATTCTTAGTTAGTAGTTGACCACAAGCAGATCTTTAATTTGTAATTTCCTTTTTCTCCACCCACTTTTGTCATGGATGATGGAATCTAAGAGCGACCCAATATTTATTAGAGAGATAGAAGAAGACTGAGTAATCCAAAGTTGTTTGGTTTAGATAATTGAAATTAAGTTCATTGAACGGAATCAAGTACTTAAATTAATCGTTGATTTTACTTAATTATTTTCGAGTTTATTATTAAGATAACTCCATTGTTCCTCGTGATGTATCCGTTTCCTGAGGCTCGAAATAGTCCTGGTCATACATCTCCCGATAATGGTTGAACTAACCACCATAATTAATGCAAAGTTGCAAACACTACAACAAAAATTGCAAACACTACAAAAAAAGGGGGGTTTATAGTACAGTTTTTTGTGTATCAATATAGGACATAATAGTACACATAGTCGATCTCCATTTATTAAAGGAATGTTTTTTCAAGACAAGTGTCATTTGATTAGGATACTAATATATTTTAAGTAAAATTTTTAAGTAAAATAGTTAAAATTAATTTTTATTACTTATCTTATTTATACGGTAAAATATTTATTACTTTTATTACTTTTTTGTTTATTTAGCTCATTTCCTTCTATAAATAAGAAATTTTTGGGGTGAAATATCTTGGAATTGCAGTCGTTGATTTCGAATGATTTCGGGATAGCGATGATCAATAATTTCTTCGTCATTACTGAAAATTCCGACAACGTCTCTTCGGTTTCAAACCGCGCTTTTGAGTTCGCAAGTTTAATTTCATATTTTCCTCCGTGTTTCTTCGTTTGGTGATGACGCCACTTAGAATAGGAAAATTGTATTAGATTCATAATATGTTGTGCACAATATACAGACTATATATAGACAATAACAAACCCTAAACTAGAACATAATAGGAAATATACTAAATATTACAATACGCCCCCGCAAACTTAGGGCGGAGAAGAGAGAAGCTGAAGTTTGTCCCGAAATCGAAAGAATAACTCTTTGGACAAGGGTTTTGTCAGAATATCAGCAAGCTGATCAGCAGCAGAGATAGAATTGACCGAAACAAACTTACGCCGAACATGATCTTGTAATACTTACCTCAACATGTCTTGTACGAGCATGGAACACATGATTGACAGCAAGGAAAACTGCATTACTGTTGTCACACCAAATAGCGGGAGGGCGATTTAAAGAAATGCCTAACTCGGACAACAGATGATACACCCAATGCAGTTCAACACAGACATTAGCAACCGCACGAAACTCAGCCTCAGTAGACGAGCGAGCCACAGTGGGTTGCTTCCTAGATGCCCAGGCAATGAGATTAGGTCCCAAATAAATGAGAAAACCAGTAGTAGAACGACGATCATCCGGACAACCAGCCCAGTCAGCATCAACTAACCGCAGAAGAAGACCCAAATCTGTAGGATGCAGAACTAAACAGTAATCAACGGTACCACGAAGATAGCGAAGAACCCGTTTGAGAGCCTGAAAATGAGAAGTGCGAGGCTGATGCATGAACTGACAAAACTTATTAACCGCAAAGGAGATATCTGGACGAGTGAGAGTGGTATACTGCACACTGCCACAGAGCCAACGATAATTAGTCGCATCATCAGAAGACAACAGAGTACCATCCAAACGGGACAACACAACATTAGCCTGCAAAGGAGTGGAAACAGGTTTGCAAGTATGCATATTTGCAAGTCGTAGCAAATCAGTGACATACTTGCGCTGAGAGAGAAGCAAACCCTTGGAAGTACGACGAACCTCAACCCCAAGAAAGTAACTCAATGGACCTAAATCCCGAAGAGAAAACTCCTTAGCAAGACAAGAGATAAAATGCTGGACCAAACCAGAAGTGCTGCCTGTAAGAATAATGTCATCCACATATACCAGCAAAAAACACAACTGAGACTCACGGCGATAGATAAAAAGAGACGGATCACAACGAGACTCCACAAAACCCAAGGTAAGTAGAAATGCTACCAGCCGAGAATACCAGGCTCGAGGAGCTTGCTTAAGACCATATAAGGACTTATGCGGTTTACACACATAATGAGGGCGCACCGGATTAACAAACCCCTGTGACTGAACCATATACACGGTCTCACTTAGAACACCATTAAGAAAGGCATTACTGACATCAAGCTGAGAAATCGACCACCCACGAGCCAGGGCAACAGTCAAAACTGAACGAATGGTGACCGGCTTAACAACCGGAGTAAATGTATCAGTGTAATCAACCCCAAAAGACTGAGTAAAACCTCGAGCCACCAACCGAGCCTTATACCGCTCAATGGAGCCATCAACATGAGTTTTAATCTTATAGAGCCATCGATTGCCGACAACATTGCCGGAGGAAGGAGGGGGAACTAAAGTCCATGTGTTATTTTTGAGGAGGGCAGAAATTTCATCCTTCATGGCATTCTGCCACTGAGGAAGAGATTTGGCTTGGGTGAAGGATGTAGGAGCAGTAGACAAGGCTGGGGAAACAGAGGTAAGATGAGCCGAGGGATCAAAGATTTTCTTGGGCTTGGGTTGTGGACAAAGTGTCATTGAGTGCTGACGGGAAGAAGGAGAAGGAGGTGGCGGCGGAGGACTGCAATCAGATGATGAAAAGCTGGATGCAGGAGATCTAGCTAAAGGTGATGAGTCGGGAGGGATAGGAGGAGACGAAAGAACTGGTGTACTAGAAGGAGACGAAGAAGACGCAAGCATACCAGGAGAACTGGTTACACGCAACCAAGGGGTAGCAGGAGACTCCAGCAGCGAAGAAGGAGAACTAGAAATAGGAAGTTTAAAGGGAAAGAGTTTCTCATCAAACTCAACGTGACGAGCAACATAAAGACGGTTAGTCACCACATCAAAACAGCGATAACCAAGATGAGATGGAGAATACCCAAGAAAGACACACTGAGTAGAACGAAAAGAGAATTTATGTTTATTATAAGGGCGAAGAAGAGGATAGACAGCGCAACCAAAGACACGAAGAAAGGTATAATCAGGTGGCTGGTGATATAGTGTAGTGAAGGGTAGGTGACCTTGAAGAGGTTTACTAGGGTGGCGATTAATCAAAAACACAGCAGTTTCAAAAGCAAACTCCCAAAACCGAAAAGGGGTACTGGAATGGCCAAGGAGAGCAAGTCCAATGTCGACAATGTGACGAATTTTGCGTTCAGCAGTGCCATTCTGCTCATGAGTGTGTGGGCACGCTAAACGATGAACAATACCGACATCCTTAAAGAAAGAATTGAGAGAACGAAATTCACCACCCCAATCAGAGTTAACACTTTTAATGGTGGTGCCAAATTGGTTTTCTACGAGAGCTTTGAATTGCTTGAAAACATGGACAACATCACTTTTATACTTAATTGGATAAATCCATGTGAATAGAGAGAAGTCATCAATAAAAAGCACAAAGTAGCGATAACCATTGAATGACAAAATAGGAGCAGGACCCCAAACATCAGTGTGAATTAAATCAAGAGGTTTAGAGCTACGATGAAAAGTAGAAGGTAAACTGACCCTATGTAACTTCCCTAAACAACACGCCTCACATTTATCAATGGACGTGGACACAGAGGAATAAGGAAGTTGAAACTGTCTAACCAAAGTACGAAGAGTGACATTATTAGGGTGCCCTAAACGAGCATGTCACTGACCTAAAGAGACAAGATAAGCTGTTGGAGACAAGGAACCACGAGCAGGAAGATCTAAGCGATAGAGACCATTATCAGCCCGACCGCGAAGGAGGAGTTCCTTGGTTGAAAGATCCTTAACACAACAAGAGTCAGAATAAAATTCAAAAAAACAGTGATTATCACGGGTAAACTTTTGAACAGATAACAGAGGCTTAGTAAGAGAAGGAGCATGCAAGACACGATTTAAATAAAGAGGACGAGAAAACGATGGCAAACAGATTGACCAACATGCTGAATAGGTAAAGCATCTCCATTACCAACTAAAATATGATCCGTACCAGTATAATCATTGGAGATACTGAGAGAGGACAAATCTGGCGTGACATGATCGGTAGCACCAGTGTCCGGATGCCAGGGAGTGACAGAAGGGGCATACTGCACCATATGGGCTTGAGGAGACATAGTCGACTCCGGGTAAGACGGAAGAGGCAACAAACCAGCTGAAGGCGGTGCAGGAGAACCTGCCTGGGCATAAGCAGCCGACCGAATGGCAGGGGGTGATATGCTTATATTTTACCTATTTATTATATCCCTAATTTGTGATTTTTGCAATATATTTTGAGTGCAAATATGCTATTTATGTGGTTTTATCTTTAATTGTAGGAATTGTACTCAAATGAAGAATTGTTGAAGTTTTGAGCTAAAATCGAATTAAAAGCAACTCAATGGGAATGAATTGAACATTGGAGCAATTGATGGGGAAGAAATTAATGAGTTTAGAGAATTGGAGGGCCAATCATGCAATTTTGTAATTTGATTCTAATTTTTGGAAAATTGGCCGAAGGTTACGTTGATGATACGGCTGATTTCGGATTGGAATTGGATAAGAATTTTAATCCCGATATTAATTGGAAAACAAGTTTTCTTGTTCTTCAAGGAGTAGGGTTTCGCCGAAAGCCTATAAAAGGGGAATTAAGGATTTATTTTTACAACAGAACGGAACCGAAACTTGACCGAAAACCACCGGAACTCCCTCCTCCTTCAGCCGGCCATCACCACCGTAGCAGCTGGCCACCACCTTCACCTCCAGCACCTCACCTTAATCATCATCTTCTCCACCTCTCACCTCTCTTCGTCATCATCATCACCGAGCTGGCCATCATTACCGAACGCCACCATCTTCCTCCACGCACCAGCCCTCCTCCTCCGGAGCTTCCCCGCTGCAACTCTTCGCCATCGCCACCTTCTTCCTCTTCTCCGCCTTCCTCTTCACCGCCGCGCAGCACCACCACCTCCATTCCCACGCAGCAAATCCGGCGAAGCGAGCAGCAACCGTCGGCGGGTCTTTGGCGTCAATTCGGTTTTGAAGTTTTAATTTATTTAATTTATTTTTTTTTATTATGTCTCTAAATATTATTGAATTAATTTTAATAATGTTTAGTGGCTAAATTCTTTTAATCTAGGGCTTGGGTGTAGCCACCAAATTTATTTGGTTTATTATTATTTGACTTTTCCATTAATTAATATTTGTTATTCTTGTTTTAATTCGTGTAAGTAATTGGCCACTATTTACATGTCTGAAGGTATTAATCGAAGTAGCGAGAGTGGAAGATTAATATTAGTTCGTAGGAATAATAAACTTAGGTTATAAGCTACGAGAGTAAGATTATAACCTTTGCAATATTTGATTCTTAATGGTCTTAATGTGCTTTTGTTAATCCCTATAGTCACGAGAGTAGTCATAGGGTTAATCTAAGTAAGAGAATTATAACACGAGAGTGTATAGTTCTTAATTAGGTGAATCGTTGTGAGATTAATGGAAGTTAAAAGTCAGATAGTTATGAATTGAACTAACCCAAATATTCGGTAGGTGAACCCAATGTCCTAGGTTTTCTTTGTCTAATTATTTGAATTAATATTATTTAGTTTTTTTTATTTATTTATTTTAGTTTTAAATTTTATAAATCTGAAATCATCATTTATCTAGATAATAATAGGAGTAATTTATACCTGGTAGTTAGTATTCCTTCTCTGTGGGATCGACCCTGCTTTCTGCTTTACTACTAGTAATTGTATTAAGTAGGTAATTATTATTTGACTAGTGTGACGACGGCTTGTCAGGGGGTCGAGGAACAAAATTAGTATCAAAACGGCGTCGACAAGTGGCGGCCTTGTGATTCAAGATGCCGCAAAGCTGACATGTCTCACCCGGAGCGGGAGGGGTGTACCCACGCCGACCACCACCACGAACAGAAACCTGATTGCGCCGGCCGCTCGCAATGAGGATTGAGGCGGCGTAGGAGAAGGTGGCGACTGCACAAGCATGGCCGTGGGCTGAAGGACCGGCTGTTGGGCATGAAGAAGCACCTCATACGAAACTAACTGTCCAAGGAGATCTTGATAGGAGGGGGGTTTGGATCGCTGTTGCAAAGCTCCGATGATGCCATTGAATTCGGCACCAAGCTTGCGGAAGATTATGGCATTAAACTCCGCAGGAGATATGCGATGGCCGGCAAGCTGCAGTGTATCGGCGATGCCCTTCGCTTTGGAGAGGAGAGCCGCGACCGACAAGTCACCTTTTTGCAAGCTGTGGAGCTCCATAACAAGCTGGGTCTGTTGAGCATAAGAAAGAGTGCCGAAACCCTGCTGAAGATCTGTCCATGCAGCCGCCGATGTTGTGCAACCCTGGAGAACAGGAAAGATCTCTTCAGTAACGGAAGAAAGAATCCAAGAGAGGACCAACTGATCCTTTTGTTGCCAGATATCAAACTCAGGATTGAGTTGGGGCACGGCACCACTAACGGAAGGAAGAAAACGTGGTGGTGCAGGTTCGGTGCCGTCGACAATACCGGCAACACGAAACATAGTCAATAAAGGAGTAAACTGAAGACGCCAAGACGAATAGTTGGCCCGAGATTGCAGCTTCACAGTAAAGGAATGATTAAGAGACTGTAGACTAGGTTGAAGGAGTGATACGGGTGTCTGTGAAGGAGGTGCCGCCGGTCGGAGGTAGGTAGCCTGGTCGGTGGATGACAGGTCGGTGATAGTCATCATCGAAAGAAAGCACGCAAAACCGAATAAGGCTCAGTTTTTTTTTTTTTGTTTTTTTTTTGTTTTATTTCTTTTGTTTTTGTAATTCAGCAGGCGGCGGCAAACAAGGACACCGACGAGGCTCAATTGACAGGTCGGTGTTTTTTTTTTTTTTTCCTCAAAGTTCAGCAGGCGGCGGCGGCAAACAAGGACACCGACGAATCAGAAAGACGCCGGCAACGATCCACGGCCGGCAAAGAAGCAGCACGCCGACGAGAACAGAGGAAAGCACGCCGACGAAAAGGACAGAACGATGGCAGCCGAAGTAGCAACAGAGGAAAGCAATCCGGCGGCAGCAGCAGAAGGACGGCGGCGGGAGCAGCACAAAGCAGAAGGGTGAGAGAGGAACGCCGACGAGGAAGAACGGCGGCAGCAGCAACACAACCCAAGGAACACCGGCAGCAGCAGAGTGCAACGGGAGCACAGGAACACCGGACCGGCAGCAGCAGCAGGGAGACGACGACGATGACAGGAGCGCACGGAAAGACAGCAGGGGGAGACAGCAACACTGTAGCAACAAAAAGAACGCGTGTGCGCGGCGGCTGTTAGTGACGGCTGTGTGTGGAGGCAGATGGATTGCGCACGGCCAAAGAAAAAACCGGCGGCGGGGAAGAGAAAAAGGAGGAAAGAAAAAAATTGGGTTGTTTTAAAACCTAGCTCTATACCAACTTAGAATAGGGAAATTGTATTAGATTCATAATATGTTGTGCACAATATACAGACTATATATAGATAATAACAAATCCTAAACTAGAACATAATAGGAAATATACTAAATATTACAATAACGCCGACTTCGACCGAGAAGATGGCGATTTCTTAATCGCTGAAGAAAGTGATGAATGAGAAGAAAGAGTAATGAACAGAATCGTGAAAAATCAGCAGTGCCCCCGGATTCATCTTTTGCATCTCAGATGTTTCAATCCCCTGAAGCAGACGAAGCCTGTGCGCGGAAAATATTTCCAGGGAAGATATCTTCCTTAGATTCCTCCAGTGATCACCGTAAGGTGCCCACACTAAGGATGTGTAATTGTAGCCCAAATGTTTCCCTTAAGGCAGAGTCGGTCGGGCGGTTCGCGAATACCACATCGTGTTTGTTGAGACATTCCTCGGCTGCCGCCGGGGAGGACACCACGAGAACTTGGCCGGATCCGAAATGGAGCAGGAGCAGAGGGCCATAACGGCAGGAAATCTTGGCCAGGCTTCGGAAAATTGGTTTTCTTAGAAGGTAAAGATTGCCAAGAATGGGCAAATTCAGGATGGGACTGGGAGGGAGATATCGTAATTTGCCAGTGAGATGCCTGGTAAGAATGTATAAAAAGCAAGGTAAAGTGGAAGGTAAAAGAAGAAGGTTTCCATGGTTGGAAGAGAAAATGGATTCACTTCTGATGCATCATACGTTCATGGATTTGATTCTTAATTAGTAATTGACCACAAGCAGGTCTTTAATTTGTAGTAGTTTGCGTCTTAATACAAACATGTAAATTCCCATCAATGAAACTTTCCTTTAATTGTATTAATAAATTAAATGAAACCATTATCAATGGCAAAGTCCGCAAAAAAAAAGTACAAATGTAAAAGCTAAAGATATGGTTGGATCCAAGTTGCAGAGTCCATATCTATCAATTGACTAGGTTCTTGAGTACTAAATCGACCGTCATACGAGTGATACTTCTGGGTGGTGAGAGAATAAAATATGCCATTTTCGCCATGAAATTTTGGAAAGTATATCTTATTACCCATCCATTTTTCGGCAGCTTTAGCCCAAAAAGACGAAGTCACACTAACAAACACCATTATATTCTCCAGACTTTCAACTCGAACCCATCTCTTGTTACCAGGGTTTAACTTGTAAACCGAGACTTTTGTAGCATCATGGCTAACAATTACCGCAAAAACATCTCCTCCATCTAATCCCGCCACTAGAAAGCTCTGATTTACGTTTTCCGAATTCACGTCTCGAAATCCAATAGGTTGGGAATAAAAGTATTGTCTACGGTGTTCAGGATCGAAAAGGGCTACACGCCCCTTCACATCCAAGAAGTAGTATCGGTCATTGTGGGAAACTAGGGCACCGGTAGAAACTTGAAAATTATCTGGCTTTTTAAATATGTTACGCACTCTCCAGTTTTGGCTTCGTTTTCCACTCTTGACGTTTGCAACACTGATAAGTCCTGCAAGCTCACCCTCTTCATGATAAAAAACTCCAAACACAGACCAACTCGAACTCGTGGGTGGGAAGTCAAAACTCATTGCTGTAACGTGGTCCAAAGTTATCCAAGGAATGTCGATCCTTTTTTGATTTGTAAAAGGGTTGAACAAGAACAAACTTTTCGAGTTCCCGTTGGACATTAACAACCATCCGTACTTGGAGCACCGTATTTCTGCATCCTTAAACTCTGGGATTTCCGAGACGTACAAGGAATTGTAGGCGAAATCGAACAGTTGAACATCATCATCATTGCGACGTAATATTAATTTCGGACAGGAGAAGTACGGACAATGTTTCGACTTTTCATATGTCAAAGGAGGATTTTGGAGCAACTTCGTGGCTTGACATGTGGCCTTGAAGGCTAATCGATCTCCTATAAATAGATAGGACTCTATCAGCTCTAAAATTTCCTGAGGTAATAAACACAACATATGGCTTTCATCTCCTTCTTTTCTCACTCCACTGCTCGTCGATGGTGATGATGGTAAAAATGTTTTCCACGCCATATTTTGCTGTCCTATAACGATAGGATACAACCCTACAATGTGGAACTAATGTTGGGGTGCACAAAACTTATTAAAAAAAAGTAAAATCTGAAAGCAAATCTATTTGTATCAGAAAAAGAAAAAAACAATCATGAGTAAGTTTCAATTCGGTAATATGGATCTTAGCTTTATTAAGACTCCCAATCCTACTCATGTTATGATATTATTGTCCACTTTGGATTTTTATTTTTTAATTCAATTTGTACTGAAAATAAAAAATCTAAACTAGACAATAATTTCGAAACTGAGAGAGTATAATTTATCTCGAATGTCCCTTACCACAGAAATAACCCTAGGGTTACGTTAATGGTTAATACAAATCAATGACCATGTACCGTCTAGTTAAAATTAACAAAAAATTAAGCAAAAAAAAAAATCACCAATAAAACAGTTAAGAATTGACTACCTGCTATTGTAAGAGGAGAAGATCGTTAGACAATTGAAGGATACTAAACTTGAAGTTGTTTTGCTCGGAAACAACCTGCTTCGAGTTTGCTTGATGAATATCGCCTACTTCTTGCTTGCTTGATAAATATGTTGGTGGACTGATTTTGATCGTATATATATTATTTATAGAGATATGATTGCCGACTTTTGCTTATTCAAAGATTTCCTTTTACTCGGAATTGAAAATTTCCTAATCAACCATGGCAACTTCCAAATACAGGTAATTAATCATAATTGTATTCTTAAAAAAATACAATACGAGACCAAATTGATCTATTTATTGTTGGAAATAGTATAACCTACAAAAGACCATCTGGCTAGTAACTAGATGGCGTACGGCCAGGAAAAGGAGAGGGCAACTTCCAATCCCTAAAGGAGAGTAATAACCAGGGTTTGAAACCATTATTTCGACTAATCCAGATTCAGGTTTCATAGGTCCCGTTCTGAAGTCATTGCAAGCCGTACCAAGGTTTTTTTGAACGTCATTGCATATCCATGTTCGGGGTTGAACCCAAGCTATAGTTACGTTGGTTTGTCGTTGGTGCAAAGGATGGTGTTAATAAAACTTAGGACATGCGTATTCACATAATCAAGAAAAAAAGTTAACTGGAGTATTTTGGATAATTATCTTTTGACGGTTTTACAATTCACAATTTGCAATCCAATCACGGATTAATTATCACTCATTGTGTCTAAATTTTCACAATTGATAAAGTCTCCTTTATATTTTTTGTGTTATTGGATTACTTCTAACCCTGTGGACTGTGAACGGTAATTATTTTTTTAATTTTTTTCTTTAGTAAAAAGTAAAAAAAAAAAAAAAGAAAAAAAAAAAAAAAGTGTGTGTTAGAAACATAAAAAAGGTGAGGTTGCAATACAATACAAACAAACAAAGCCTTAAGTGTGTGTAAATAACAACATGCCGTTAGTCCCCGGTACAGTGTCTCTAGTACTGAGACGGCGCTCTGACACCACCACGAAACCAAAACCTGCAGAGAGAGGCTGATGATGGAGTCTACGAATTCCGAATTATTACATGAAAATCGAACCAATGGATTGCAAACACTTGGGTTAATCCTATTCATTCAGCCTTTTTGATAAAAGCAGAGCTGCTCCTTCTACTAGAAAGAAGCATTCTCGCATTCTTGATTTCGGTAAGTTTTCTTTCTTTCTTCAGTTTCTTATAGTTCTTCCTTTGTTTTTTGTTTTCCTCTATTCCTGTTTCGATTTCCCTTTTCTTCGCCGGTTGTTTTTTTCTTCTCTATTGTTTTAGTTTTTTCCCTTCTTCTGGCCAGTGCTTTCGGATCCTCTGTTCACTATTTGGTCTTGCCGGGCTGCTACTAAAAGGTACAGTTTTTCCTCAGTTCTGCTGCATTTTGTGATTTGTGATAGATGATTTCTATGTGATTTTGGGCTCTCTCTTTGTTACTTTCTTTCTTTTATGTTGTAATGTAGTGTACACTGTAATTAATCCCCTGGAATTTATGGGTTGCGGCAGTTTCTTCTGTTTTTTTTTTTTTTTTTTGGTGCATCCTTTAGAATCATTAATGCTTATTGGGAATCCCATTTTTTTAGTTTTAAAGGAGAATCCAAGAACTTATACATAAAGCTACCAAGAAATCTAGTAATTTAATTATCGAATATGATAGGATGTAAAGTCGCAAGTGATGAAAACACTAGCAAGGTTCTCCCAATGTGGCCGAGAGACTCTTTGTTCTAAGTTGAGAAACAGAGACTGTCAATGGGGTCGTTGTTGCCGAATCCTAGAATCCTATATGCAGGCTCCCTTTTGTTTTTTTGAAAACCATAACTGTGATCGGGTTTCCTGCTGCTACATCAGTTCCAGAATTACAACCTAAATATCATGTGCAGAATAAGCTTTTGGCTTGATATCCCACTGAAGCCTTGTATTCTTTTGCAGCAAGTTTAGATATGCTTACAGTTGTTTGTTGAGTCTAAAGAAGAAACGCTTTAGAACAGCAAGAGTGAATAGAGAGCTATATGATCTTGTCGATTGATTAGCTTCAACCTCGTAGTTATTGGATACAGAACAGTGTTGCTTGAGCTTCTGTTTGTCTTTTAGTTTCCTCCTCTGGTACTGATGGTTTGTCACATTTGTACATTACTTGATTTCCTATGTTTTTTTTTCCCGAAAACTTCAATAAATGTATTCATTTGAATGACAGGGCGTACCGTCAATTCATTTGGACTGAAAAAAAAATTGACCTTAACTCCATCGAGTATTCCTAAAATGGTACCTAAAATTTTCCTTCATACTGAGAAATGGATAGGCGGTTAAATTGGCATGATTCTTCAAAGGTTGGACTTTGGAGGTTAGACGCATATACCGGAAGATTAGTATTTATAGGTAGATATGGAGTTCTTGTTCAAACCTTATGGAAGGCCGTCATAATTGTAGAAAGCTTAAATCTACATGTCATTTAAACTATGCGAAATAACATAGCTAGGATAGAGCAGGTACCAATGAACCCTTCTCTATAAGCTGTAGGAGTTACACATCTTTTGCATGCAGAGTTATTCTTGTTTAGACATGAAACTAAACTATTTTGATCTCAATCACCATATTGAACAAACCCTTTGTCAGTGGATGTTGTCAGTACCTTCCACTCCTCAGAAGTGATTGAAAATCTTGAGTATTTCATGAAAAAAGGCCAATGGTTTATGTACTCATACTTGGCAATTTGTGAGAGAAAAAAATATGTATAAGGTAAAGCAATATATGGGGTGCTTTGGCTAAAAAATGGGGTAGAAAAAGGAGTAGAGAGATCTATAATTTTTTTTTTTTTGGTAAAGAAAAATGTCGAGATCGGATTCTCAAAATCCGACCTACTAATTAAATTAGTAGTCCGGATTTCAAGAATCCGATTTAATAAAATAACAATTTTTATTTCCGGAAAATATATATGAGAAAAATGTATTGAAAGTCAAATAAAGACCAGTCAAAGGTCGGATTTTAGGAATCCGACCTTAATTATTTTCATAAAAAAATACAAGCGGGAGATTTGAAAATTAAGAACAGTATAACATCGGATTTACAAAATCCGACCTTATTTAAGCATACCTAACAGTAGGTATCGGCATTGAATGGACGTTATTAGCTGACAGAAGATCGGATTCTTGAAATCCGGCCTTTTATGTAAATCGGATTTTGTAAATCTGATTTTATTAGTAAAATCGGATTTTAGAAATCCGACTTTATTGTGTTATAATGGGGCGACGGAAAACACTGTTCACATATCGGGATTTTTGGTAAAGTAGGCTATTTCTTGAAGGAGGAGATGATTTTAGTGGCGATTTGACGATTTTGTTCACGATTCTTCGCAACGGATGTCTTAAAACCATTTCATAAGAAGGTTAGTTAATGTTTTGATGTATTTAGAATTATTTTCTGCGTAAAAGTTTAGAACTAGGATGATTTATAAGGTTTTAGGGTTGATGTTGGGTGTAGTTGATGATTGTTGTTGTATACGTGGTATTGAACGTTCAATTTAGTAAAATGCTTGAATTTGGCCTAAACTTTTGAATTTGTAGGGGGTTTAGTAAATTTAGTGTTGATTATGCCTTGTTTGTGGTAATTGTTATAATAAGTTGTTTGATAATGCCTTGTTTGTGTCATTTTTTTAATAATTTGTTCATGATGCGTTGTAATTCATGTAATCAACAGATATAAATGGCGTTTAACGGTCCATATTTCATTAATGTCTATTGGTCGAGCAAATTTGTAGTGAAGAATGGGATTGTGAATAGTTTTAACAACATGCCGGACGATTCCTTTGTGATTGATCATAAGTTATTGTACAATGATTTGGTTGGACTGATTTGTGAAAGAGTGGGGTGGAATAGAAAGAATGTGAATTTGAGTCTATCGATTTTGTATGATACGATGCGCAATGGTTTTAGGCGTATCGCCAAAATCAAGGACGACGCATCGTTGCAAGTGTTGTATTTCCTCCCAAGTTCGACATATATTGATTTGTATGTAGATTTGGAGGTGGAGGGTACTTCTAGGTCCCATTTGGAAGTAGGGACAAGTAGTGGTAGGCCGAATGTGGAGAATGTCGATTACATGGAAGATGATGATGTGGGTGGACCGTTTATGGAGGATGGCGATCACATGGAATATGATCACGGTGAAGATGATGAGGACTACACATCGATAAGTGATCAAAGCGATGAAAACCAATCAATATCCGAAGGAAGTCGGAGAGTGATGAAGAGGTCGAAGACAAATTCGCCACAAAGGATAGGCACATATATCGTTCACGTGGTACGTGGGATCATACAAAAGTGGACAAGGATGATTTTCAACTTACCATGTGGGATGGGACAACCGCAACAATTGGGATAGGGACTTGTTTCAAGAATAAGGAAGAAGCAAAAAATGGTATTGCAGCGTGGAACATAGAGCAAAAGAGAGAGTTTTATGTGAAGGAAAGTGATGGTTCAACATGGTCTATTTGGTGCAAATCCCTAAAAGAGTCAACCCCTAAGGGTTATGTTCCTTGCCGTTGGAAGGTACGTGCCTCCTTGAGAGACCACGGTTTGTGGGAGATAGTGAAATGGGTGCCCGAGCACAATTGTATGAATGTTACCGAGGATAACAATAATCGGAATGTGAGCGCAACGCTTATTGCGCATCTCATAAGGCATAAGGTTGAGTTGGACCCAGATTATGAAGTGAAGCTAGTTCAGGAAGAAGTGAAAGACCGTATGCATGTCGATGTTCCTTACCACAGGGCATGGGAGGGAAGGAGAAAAGCTATCGATCTTGTTTACGGCGACTGGGTTTCCAATTTTGACATACTTCCAAGGTATTTACTTAAGTCCTATCTAATTTTTTTGATTTGTTTGTAATTTAGGAATAAAATAAGGATTAATTATTTTATTTTAATTTAGATTTTTCGCCGCCCTAGAAAAGAGCAACCCCGGCACAGTTGTAGAGTGGGAATGGCAACCGGGTTGGACCGATATAGAGAGGACGTTCAAATATATTTTTTGGGCATTCAAGCCTGCAATTGATTGTTTTGCTAAATGTCCTCCGGTGATTAGTATCGACGGGACGCACTTGCGCGGCGGATACAAAGGTAAATTACTTGCTGCAATGGTCAAAACTGCGAATAAGCGCATCCTGCCAATTGCATATGCGATCGTGGATGAAGAGAGTGAGGAAAGTTGGTCATTCTTCTTGAAGCATTTGAGGAATCATGTTATATCCGACCGGCCTGTGTGTGTTATATCCGATCGGCACAAGGGTATCATCAGTGCAATACGCCTAATGCCCGAATGGAATGCATACCACCGGTTTTGCCTTCGTCACGTCCGTAGTAACTTGGTGGCGCAGTTTCAAGTAAAAAGATCAAAAGGTTGTGTTGGGAGATGGGCACGAAACTTTCTAAGTCTAAATTCAATGAACTAAGGAATGAGCTACGTGATTTTAGCAATGATGCTTATTTGTATCTCGAGGAGATTGATGCTTGTCAGTGGACTCTTGCCAAAGACAAACACTATCGTTGGGGTAACCAGACAACGAACATTTCTGAGAGCTACAACAACGTCCTCAAGGGTGTTCGTTTCTTGCCAATCCGGGCTTTGGTGGAAGCTACTTTTATTAAGACTGTGGATTTGTTCCAGGAAGAATACGTGAAGTCGAGGAAATGTATTACTCCGGTCCCAACTGACTTGTGGGAAGACTTCAAGAAAAAAGAAAAGAAAGCCGCGCAACACAAAGTCAACCGTTATGGTGCTATTAATGGCAAGTTCAAGGTGAAAAGTAGAGCCCGACTTGGTGGTAAAGGGGATAACACGTACACTGTGAAATATGAAGAGAAGAAGTGTTCTTGCAAGAAGTGGCAAGAGTATAGGTTCCCTTGTACACATGCACTAGCTGTGTGTCGGAAGATAAAAGATCAACCAATCAATACGGTGAATCCATATTTCAGGGTTGTTGCTTGGCAAGACCAATTCAGTGGGCGCGATGACTTTTCCCCGGTCGCTGATATGAGAAGATGGCCTAAGGTTGGATGGAGACTCGTTCCTAACTACGAGCGAGTTATTATGCATGCTGGACCCGGTCGTTGGCAAAAGAAGAGATTTAAAATGCAAATGGATTATAGGGGACGCAAATCGAGGGATGAATGTTTGAGATGTGGCTCAAGGAATCATTTCACCAATACGTGCCCAAAATCACACAAGAAATCCGATAGGACAAGGCTCAAGATCAATTGGGACGCCGATGGTATTCACAACGACTAGGATTGTTTTGTTTCACAATGTTTCATGTCTCGAAACTTTTGATATTTATACTTTAGTTTGTTCGATTTGGAGTTTATGTTGTATTTCTTTTGAATCATGAGGCTTAATGAATTAGTTTAGTTAATATATTGTTATTGTGTTTGATATTAGTACTTGTGTATCCGAAATACAAAATCCTATCTAGGCATAAAGCCGGATTTTCTGAATCCGATTTCAAAGGAAAATCGGATTTCGTAAATCCGATTTAGGCATAAAGCCGGATTTACTGAATCCGATTTATGCACTGTTCACTCAGAAGGTCGGATTTTGGTGAAATTTGCAACCAACTTCGTAACTCTCTGTCCAAGGTCGGATTTAAAAAATCCGACCTTGTTACTCAATGAATAAATCGGATTTGACGAATCCGATTTTTGACGAGTATTTAACCGGTTGACCAAAATTTGGGGGAGTCAAAATCGACTCCCCCTTCTTCTCCAACCCTAAAATCGGATTACCCTCCCCGGTCGGATTTTTCCTCAAGGTCGGATTCCCCCAAACCCGGCGATTCCCCTCCCCGGCGATTTCCCTTTTGTTCGATTCTCTTCCCCGGCGATTCCTCAGGTAATTTGTCCATTTTTTTCATTTTGATTTAGGTAATGTGTGTGTGTGTTGCCGGGTGTGTGTGTGTGTGTTGCCGGCGATGTGTGTGTGTGGGTGTGTGTGTTGCCGGCGCTGTGTGTGTGTGGGTGTGTGCCGGCACTGTGTGTGTGTGTGTGTGTTGCCGGCACTCTGTGTGTGTTGCCGGCACTCTGTGTGTGCCGGCACTGTGTGTGTGTGTGTGTGTTGCCGGCACTGTGTGTGTGCCGGCAGTGTGTGTGTGTGTGTGTGTGTGTGTGTGTTGCCGGCACTCTGTGTGTGCCGGCAGTGTGTGTGTGTGTGTGTGTGTTGCCGGCACTGTGTGTGTGCAGTGTGTGTGTGTGTGTGTGTGTGTGTGTGCCGGCAGTGTGTGTGTGTGTGTGTGTGTGTTGCCGGCACTGTGTGTGTGCGGCAGTGTGTGTGTGTGTGTGTGTGTTGCCGGCACCGTGTGTGTGCCGTGTGTGTGTGTGTGTGTGTGTGTGTGTGTTGCCGGCACTCTGTGTGTGCCGGCAGTGTGTGTGTGTGTGTGTTGCCGGCACTGTGTGTGTGCCGGCACTGTGTGTGTGTGTTGATATTGGTATTGGTGTGTGTGTATTGATATGGGTATTGATATTGGTATTGGTATTGATAGTATTGGTATTGGTATTGGTATTGATAGTATTTGGTATTACAGGATTAAAATATGGAGGGTTCGAGTTCCTCACAACCCACACTGCAACATTTTAATCCGGCTCCAATAGATGACTCATTATTATACCTATATGACCATCATAGGGCGAAAGCCATTTTCGAGAACCATGAGGCTTTTAGTAAAGCCCTTAAAGGCAGGAGATTTGATAGTCATTTTTGGACTTGTATAGAGAAACCATCCCGGCATTGCCCTCCACAAGTCATAGATGAGATAAGGCGGTCAGGCTTTGGGGGGGTGATCCAACTAGGTTATATACAAGCGGACAATTGTTTGATCACCGCAATGGTTGAGAGGTGGAGACCTGAAACTCATACATTTCATTTTCATTTTGGCGAGGCCACTATCACTCTAGAAGACGTTGAGGTGTTATTAGGGTTGAAAGTGGATGGTAAGCCTGTGGAGGGGATGACACCTGAGAATTCTATGGCACAGTGGATGGCATTGTGCTTTAGATTGTTGGGAATTACACCCGTTAGTGACATGTTTGATGGGAATAAGATTTATGCAGAGTGTTTAATCAACGAGTGTCTGCGTCCGATCCCAGAAAATGCCCCAAGAGAAGCCTATACACAGAGGGCCCGTGCATTATCATTACTACCGATTGGAGGTTTCTTGATTCCCGACAATACGGAAATGAATACCACCGTGGATCCCGACAATACTCGAGGATTTGGATGTCTGTGCTACCTACGGTTGGGGTCACTGCTTTAGCTAAGTTGTACTTTGCTCGTGTCAAGCTTCCGCGCCCGGGAAAAAGACATTACCGGATGTTATATGCCGATGCAGTGAATTTTTGTGTTTCTTTGTTTATTTATATTTTTTTATTATATTTTTGTTTGTTTTCCTAATTTGTGCCTTTTCTATTTAATTTCAGTTATGGGTTTGGGAGCGTATCCCAAGACTTCAACCAAAGAGGAAGGTTAAAGATGAGAGTTACTTGGTGCCGGACGCACCATTAGGCAATAGGTAATGATTTATTTGATTTATTTTATTATTTTTTATTTCCTATTATGTTAAAATCCAATGATTTATTTTATTATTTTTTATTTCCTATTATGTTAAAATCCAATGATTTATTTTATTATTTTTTATTTCCTATTATGTTAAAATCCAATGATTTATTTTATTATTTTTTATTTCCTATTATGTTAAAATTCAATGATTTATTTTATTATTTTTTAGTTCCTATTATGTTAAAATCCAATGATTTATTTTATTAATTTTTATTTCCTATTATGTTAAAATCCAATGATTTATTTTATTATTTTTTATTTCCTATTATGTTAAAATCCAATGATTTATTTTATTATTTTTTATTTCCTATTATGTCTCAATCGTAGGTGGAAATGTCCAAAATCCAAAGCGAACATCGCCGCTCATTGTGTTGCTGGCATCAGGGATCAGTTATCTAGCCTAAGGGATGGGGATGTAAGTATTGATTTAAGTTGCAGTTGAAAAAATGCCTTTTCATATTTTACATTTTTTTTTTTTACCAATTTTTTATTTTTGGACAGTTTCTATGGACTCCATACACTCCCTTCATCGATGATCTCCCTGATTTCTGTAAAGAGGAGTTAATTTCTACCTCGTAGGACGTGGATCTTTTGTTGGGCCATCGAGAACCATACGAGCCCAATCGGGTCCTTCGTCAATTTCAATGCGTCCAAACTGTGCTGAGTACCCGTTAATCAATGACATTGATCGCTGGAATGCGATACACCACGGATGCCTTGGGACTGGAAAGGCATATGATGATTGGGTGCAAAAACACACTGAGGTACGACCTCATTGGAATGTGAGAGATCAGCACGTGGTCCCTCATGAATTGGGTGATCCGGAACTAGGTCCTCAATGCACATCGGACTACATGCCGTGGTTTCAAAAGAAGACTATCAGATTTATGACTGATCCCACTCAATACGGCCCTCTGGCACAGGGTTATCACTCGTCTTCATCTTTGGAGAGATTTTATGTAAGATCTAATATTATATTTTGACTTAAATTTTTTTTTATATTTTAATTCTTGCTATATCTTACACTTTATTCACATGGTTCAATTTTCTGCAGTCTTCCAATCTCAGCGACATATATCATCTCGCTGATGCAGCCTTACGGGAAAATCCAAGCCTTGGTGGTAGTCTAGAGGATAAACTCTTCCAAATCTTCGACAAGAGTTTCAGTGCCCTGACTTTGGGCCCACGTGATATGAGCACTCAGTCCGATACTCAAGTTCTTCAGAAAAGACCCCCTGAGTCAAGTCAAAATGTGGTACTCACGCAGAAAACAACATCGAAGCCTACTGGAGGAGGAAGGAGGAAGCGACCGGGAATTTCAGATCAAACAATCATAGTTCATCCTAATCCAACTCCAATGCAAGAAGATGATGAAAATGATGAAGGCAATGAAAGCGATGAGAATTACTACATTAGGGGCGAAGAAGAAGAAGAAGAAGAAGAAGAAGAAGAGTCCTCTCCACCTCGTGTTTCTTCCCAAAAGAAAAAGAAAACGGTCGAGGTTCGCAAGAGTGATAGGGTTAGTAAACCGGCCAAGAAGTATACTCCCGGCGATGGGGCTACGAGGAAGAAAAGGTCGTCAAAGTAATTCAATTGTAGGACTCTTTATTTTATAACTCTTTCATGTATAAATGTTGTAATTTGGATGATTTGGGATTTGAATTTGTTAATGTTTGTTTTGATGTGTTTAGAATGTGTTTATAGGTAATTTTATTTGTGAAATTTGGTTTTGGTGCTGTTTTGATAGATTGGGATTGGTTTAGAAACCAATCTTTCATTTTTTTCAAAGAGTCTGTCCAAGGTCGGATTTAAGAAATCCGACCTTCAACTTGTTTTAAGAAGAAATCGGATTTTAAGAATCCGACCTTAGCTTACACGGATTCTCAAAATCCGATTTAAACTTACCCGGATTTATGAAATCCGGCCTTAATTTAAAACCGGATTTTGAAAATCCGACTTCGGTCAAAATTTAATTTCAAAAAAAAAACTAAGTGTTTTTCGGAAAATATATTATTTTAATATTTTAGGGTCGGATTTTTAAAATCCGATCGTCTCTTAATCTTGATTAATTTCATTAATTTTTTGTATTAAGGTTAGGTCGGATTTTGAGAATCCGGTTTAGCTGGAAAATCGGATTTTAGGAATCCGATATCGGTATTTTGCTCTTCTCCAAAATTCGACCTATATTTATCTCTACTCCTTTTTTTGAACCATTTTTTTACTCAAAAACTCGCAATATATGGAATCTGTTTCTTTTGCTGTTGTAGTCTAGTTTCCATTGTAATCACTGGAGTTAGCATGATGAGCTACTTAAATTTTTTCTACACACTTTATTTTGAGGACCATTTGTTCTTATGTTACTCTCTTTGTCAAATGAGATACCTTGGAGAAGAGTAAGATGCTGATTTGGGAACTTTCACCCTTGAAGAGCTCGTGCGCTCTGAGAATAGTAAAGTGTGAATGGATTTTGTTCAAGAATCCTGATTATGGAAGTTGAAATTCTGATGATGATGAAGTGAAGCAGAAAAAGTATACTTCCTCTATCCCAAAATTATTGTCCAGTTTAAGATTTCACTTTTAGTACAATTTGAACTAAAAATGAAAACCAAACTGGACAACAATTATGGGACGGAGGGAGTATTATATATAATGCCTTTGTGGTGACTGGAAAGTATAGTAAGCCTTTGAGTGACTAGTATAAACCTTAATCTTTGGGTCGATTAAGAATGTATGCCTAAAGGACTACAGGAGAATGTGTACCTGATATGGAGCTGAACTAAATGGTTACTCATTTATGAAATCTTGTTATCTATTTCTTCTATAGTTTTACTAGCTTCTCTTGGTTTATTTCCTTGATTATTGTATTTCCTTCATATGGATTTCATTGTTTGCAGGGGGTGATGAAAGGGAAGACTAAGAGGAGGCAAACCACAAAGTTGAAAGAGAAAAAAACAGTGTGTATTTAATTTACTTGATGAATGAACGTTTCAAGTCAACCACTCTATGAATTCACATCTCATTTTAGTAAAAGATCAGACAACATTGCTATATAGCTAATTAGAGGTAAACAGACTAAGTTGAATGCCTACTGAAATTTGCCATTTAGTAACTGCTACTGCTGCTTTGTTGATTCTCTGCTTCTGGATCTCTGTTTTATGCTTCCAATTCTTTGTTACAAACATAAAAATATCTTCCTAGTTATATTGCGAATATTCTGGATCATTACATTGTAGATGCTTTGTTGATTCTCTACTTCCGTATGCTTCCAATTCTGTCTAATAAACATCCTTTGGTAGCTCCCAATTCTCTGAATACTTTCTTCCAATTTTCTGTTTGCAGACGATAAAAACGGTATACTACTGTGATGTCTGTGAAGAGGTTTTGGATATGACTGGTACCCAACTGAAAGGTCACGTTAACTCCCACACTCATCCAGTTGAGGCTGATTTTCCCATAGAATTTTTAGAACAACATCCACTTCATTTCGAGGATGCACCCGTTGAGTTACTTCAAGTTGAGAATGCACCTGTTGAGTTAGCCCTGCATCCACTTCTGGTTGAGGATGAAGCAGATCCTATTGAGGAGCAACCTCAGTTGGATGTAATAATGGATTTTCTGAGGCCAGTTATTGTTTGGTATGCTGTGTTTGGATTTGGGACACGCCGTCTGGATGAGAGTGATGATGAGGGTGAGGATCAGGTTCCATGAGAAGGAAGGTCTTTTGGGCGAACATGCAGACAAATTTGGTAGGATGTTGAAATAGCATGAGTACCGTGGCTTTTAACGCTATGTGTAAACAGTTAAGTAAGCTTTTCTATTATCTACTAGACCATAACTATTGTTCACAAGGTGAAACGAAAACTTGGGAAAAGGCGAAAAAGTTTTGGCCAGGTTAATTATTCCGAAACATACAAAATACCTCTGTTTCTTTTGGCCAGGTTTTGCAAAGATAAATGCTTGTCTGGACTAGTTTTTCCTCTATTTCTTCTTCTAAGAATAATGGTTTAGTTTTGTCTGCATTCCCTCTGTTCCATTGAAAAAAAAAATAGTTCATTGAGTTTTGAAATTTTACCGTTTTTAGTACAAATTTCAAGAACTCAATGTGTATTATTTTTTGTGAGTCGAAGGAAGTACTTTATTCTTCAAAAATACTACAGAGTTTGATTAAGAATACTATTTTTATCCCCATACACGAAGTGTATCCTCGCTTCAAGCATATAACATAATCTCCTTCCTGTCAAACGACCGAAAAGGTTTACAGTCGCCAAATTCTTGCTTTCTTGATCAAGAAAAAATTTAGGAAAAGGCTTCTTCTTTGATTTGAGTTCTTGAACTGATGGCATTTTCATGCAACTGAATGAACACACTGTAGAATATGAAAATCAAAATTTTCCGTTGTCCCCGAAATTTCTTGATTGAGCCCATATTCATTTCGATTGATTCGAGTATTTTCAAGTTCCTGGAAGAAATTTTTTCTCCCAATTGTTTGATTCGATTTTTGATTTTTTTCTCCTGGAAAAGGTTAAATTTAAGAACGGAAGTTTTCAATTTGAAGTTGTTCCTTTGCGTAATTTCCTCGTCACATACGATCATGGCCACTCCACCGTACGTGCCGGAGAAGTTTCTAAGGTCGAACTGAAATTTCCAAAGCCGAAAGGGCCGAAACACTTACAATCTCTTATGGAGGCGATCGACGGAGAAGAAGGGCAATTGGCCCCGATGAAGTAAGTAGTCGGTCCTGAACTTGAATATGGAACTTGAAGTGGATTTTTGTGATGTTGGCGTCATCAAAGTAAAGAATTGGAAAATCGTCTCTCACTAGAATTTACACTGTCTCTCTCTCTCTCTCTAGAATTTACATCGGAGTCTTCGCAACATTGCCCAATGGGTGACCACCCGTGGAGGAACAACCTCACATGGGGAAAGCTAGGCCTGAATTGAGGGATGCTGATCCACCCGACCCGCAAGGAAATATTGGGATCTCTGGCGATACTGAAATGGAAAATGCCGATAATCCAAATCCGGTACCATCTTATAAGGAGAAATTAGCTGGGTTACAAGGTAAGAAGCGGAACTCTTCCTATAGAAGTGGCAGAGGGTGACAAACATGTGCATAGCGTCAAGGGGATGGGAGGAAAGCTCATCTTTCCGGAAAGAATACGACAAGCTTTTTACCAGCAGTGGGAACACATGGTTGTGGTCAAATTGATGGGGAAGAAAATCACTAGAGCTCAACTAAATGATAAAATTAGGGAAATGTGGAGGCCGAAGCAGGGCTTTGTAACCATGGACATGACCAATGATTTTTTTGGAGTAATCTTGTCGAACCAGGAGGACGAGGAGAAGGCGCTTCTAGGAGGCCCGTGGCACATCGGAGGTTTATGTATGTTTGTTCAAAAATGGTACCAAGGGTTCCGGGCATCCACAGCCCCCCTTACAAAAGTGGCCACATGGGTGAGATTGCCAGATCTGTCGATAACATATTACCACGAAATAGCACTGAATGCAATTGGAGATTTCTTAGGGAGGATAATTAAAATTGATCCAAACACACTCAACGCAAAAAGAGGAAATTACGCACGGATCGCCGTAGAATTGGATGTCGATACGCCTCTAACCGCACGATTCCAGATAGATGAGGGATGGTACAACATCTGCTATAACTGTGGCAAAATTGGTCATGGGTTGTTGATTTGCCCGGAAAAAGAAGCAGCCAGAGAAAGACAGACCGTATCAACAGAATCCCAACCAAAAGACCCACCGGGTTCGGGTAGAGATCATCCGCCAATTTCCACAAATGCTGGTTCTCAGGGATCGGCTTCCAATCCCACGTCGGCCAACGGCCCAGTGGGACCAGGACCGTGGCTGGTGGTTCAAAGAAGGCCCCGGAGAGGAGCATGGCAATTGGAACAGCGAAACTGGAATACTCAGACCGGAGTACCAGGGTCCAGATTCGGAGTGCTAGCAACGGAACCTGACAGTGATGTTGACAGGCCGCAAACGACAACTACGACAAAAACTAACGGTCAACAAAGTGCAACAGTTACAAGCCAGTGGAGGCCCAAAATCCAATTTAAAGCCCAAGCCACTGACATTAATAATAAGGCCCAACCAAAAGACCAACCCAAAAAACAACCCGCTAAAGTAATTGTCACCGAAAGGAGGGCTATTGCCAGAATTAGAATTCAGAAATAGAGGATTGAGACATTAGCAAAACAGAAAAGGAGAAAAGGATAAATTTTGGGAGAAGAAGGAAATTAAGGAAGAGATAATTTTCATAAAAGATCTGATGATCCTACAAGGATTCCATCTCATCCTATATTAACGTTAATTTACTAACGGACAAAAATTAAGGAAACTTCCCAGCAGCTACTACCTAAAGGCTTCTAAAAGGAAAGCTGTAAAATAGTAATAATAAGTTAAATAAACTGAAATCCACAAACGTCTTCTGTTTCACAATACAGAATGAGGACGTATCACTTTTAGTCCCAAATTCCCGATTGAATCCCTAAAATTACCAAAATTCCTTTCCAAGTTTTATTCGTGACAAGGGTCCCTTGTAAAACAAAGCTTGTCTCAAGCTTTGAATTCTGTAAACTGCTTGGCGATGAAGTCTTTATCCTCCCATGAAGCGTCGGACACATCCAAGCCTCTCCATTTCACAAGCCATTGCACCACTTGAGCTTGATTCCTCTTGATGATTCTTCTTTGTAACACAGTTTCTGGAAATAAAGTTATATCCTCATGACAGCTGAAATCAGGTGGTGAAGTTGTATTGACAGGGCGCAATCCCAAATGCTTCTTCAGCAATGATACATGAAAGACAGGATGAATTTTTGCATGATCGGGCAACTTCAGTTTATATGCCACAGTTCCAACTCTTTCCAGAATTTCGTATGGACCAAAATACTTGCTAGACAGAGTTAGAGAGGATCTTACTTCCACTGACTGTTGCATGTAGGGTTGCAGCTTCAAGTAAACCCAGTCTCTCACGTTCAATTGCCTCTCTGATCGTTTCTTGTCAGCGAAAAACTGCATGCGGTCCCTAGCTTTCCTCAGATGTTCTTTCAGCAGTTTATCAACCTCTTTTCTTCTTTCCAGCATATCTTGCACAGCCGGAATAACCACATTCTCATACTCTCCCAAGGGCAAGTGAATGGGTGGAGTTCCATAAAGTGCTTCAAAAGGTGACATATTAATGCTGCTGTGGTGTGAAGTATTGTACCACCATTCCGCTAATGGTATCCAATTGCTCCATGTTGACAGTTTCTGGCAAGCAAAGCATCTAAGATAAGTTTCCAGGCATTGGTTAACACGCTCCGTTTGTCCGTCGCTTTGTGGATGATATGCCGTACTGAGGTTAAGCTGGACATTGAGAAATTTAAACAGTTCCTGCCAAAAATGGCTAGTGAAGAGCCTATCTCTGTCACTAACTATTGATTCCGGCAATCCGTGTAGACGATAAACCTCCTTCATGAATAATTCAGCTACTTGGACCGCGGAAAAAGGGTGTTTCATAGAGAGGAAATGGCTGCACTTCGTCATACAACTACTACCAAAACTGTGTCAAACCTTGCTGAGACATTGGCTTTCTTTCAATGAAATCCATGCTTATCTGTCGCCAAGCTTGTTGTGGTACTTCTAAAGGTTGAAGTAACCCTGGATAAGCAACATGTTCCACTTTATTCCTTTGACACACATCGCAGGTTTTTACAAAATTTTCCACCTCAGTCTTCATGTCAGGCCAGAAAAATAAGGCTTTGAGTCTCTGCAAGGTTACTAGTTGACCTGAATGGCCCCCCACGTGTGAAGAATGCATGGCATTGATGAGCAGCTGCCGGATGTTGTTGGAGTTACCAATATAAATCTTGTCCTTCCTCTTAACCAACCCCTTGATCATTTGGAATTCAATACTGTGACCAGCTACTAATTCAGTCATCACCTTTTGCACCTTTTCATCCCCCTCATAACTTTTTTCTACTTCTTGAATCCATTTAGGCTGGACTGAGGTGGTGGCTTTGCTGCTGATTGCTGCTTCCTGATTCCTTTCCTCCGTTTGAAGCCTTGACAGTGCGTCTGCAACCTTGTTCTCTGCTCCTTTCTTGTATTGAATCACGTAGTCCAGCCCTAAAAGTTTAGCCAGCCATTTATGTTGCATCGAAGTCGAAAGTTTCTGTTCTAGCAAGAATTTCAGTGCCTGGTGGTCAGTTTTAATGATGAATTGCCTGCCCACAATATAATGCCTCCATTTTGAGATAGCCATGACCAACGCAAGTAATTCTTTCTCGTACACTGACAAGCCTTGATTTTTAACTCCAAAAGCCTTGCTGAGAAACGCGATGGGATGGTTTTATTGCATAAGTACCGCTCCCATGCCATGTTCACAAGCGTCTGTTTCGATAATAAAAGGCTTACTAAAATCAGGCATTGCGAGCACTGGGGCTGATGTGATGGCTGCCTTGAGATTCTGGAATGCATCGGTAGCTTTTTCAGACCAAATAAATCCATCTTTACTTAGCAGTGAAGTGAGGGGTTTACTAATTACTCCGTATCCCTTGATGAATCACCTGTAGTAACCTGAAAGTCCAAGAAAACCTCGTAGTTGTTTGACAGGCTGTGGAAGTGGCCATTCTTGAATGCAACTAAGCTTGCTTTTGTCCATACTCACCCCTTCTACAGAAATAATGTGACCCAAGTATTCCAGGGATTCTTGGGCAAATACGCATTTAGACATCTTTGCATAGAGCTGATGGGTTTTTAATATTGATAACACCATTTGCAAGTGCTGAATATGCTCCTCCCAACCTTTGCTGTAAACCAGGATATCATCAAAAAAAAAACAAAACACATTTCCTCAGTAAGGCCTCAAAAATTCTGTTCATTAGGGACTGGAAAGTTGCCGGGGCGTTGGTGAGTCCAAACGGCATCACTTTGAACTCAAAGTGCCCATGGTGCGTTTGAAAAGCAGTTTTTGGAATGTCCCTTTCTCTCATTCTGATTTGAAAGTATCCTGACCTTAGATCAAGTTCGGAAAAATACTTGGCTCCATATAATTCATCTAGAAGTTCTTCGATTACAGGGATTGGATAATTCTCCTTGATAGTCATCTCATTCAACCTTCGATAATCCACACAAAACCTCCATTCGCCGCCCTTCTTTTTGACCAACAAAACTGGGGAAGAGTAGGGGCTAACAATATATTGTACTACACCATTCTTTAACATCTCAGCCACCTGCTTCTCTATCTCATCTTTGTGAGCATGAGCGTACCGGTAAGGTTTCGTTTTAAAGGGTCGTGCCTCCAATTTCAGCTCAATACAGTGTTCTATCTCTCTTGGAGGCATTTCAGAGGTTTTGGAAAATACCTGATCAAACTGTTCCAGTAACAGCCTGAGATCATCTGGTAGTGGTTCCGCATTCTCATTTTCTTTGGTTTCCTCTTCCTGTACGATCTCTGTGACACAGTGACGGCAATGCGTATAACAGTATTCATCCCTTCTCTTGATTTTGATAAAATCTCTCACGTCAACATTATGCGTTCCTGCTATAGTTGATTCCATGTGTCCCCCATTTAAAATGTGAGTCCTGCCATCTCTAGTGAGGTGAATACATTGCTTGTCATAGTCAAAAGCCACCGGACTGAAAGTTGACATCCAATCCACGCCCAGAATGATGTCCAAACCCCCAAGATCCATGATCAAGAATTCAAATGCAAAACTGTAATGCTGGATATCCCAGAGTAGATCAGGACATTTCAAAGAGCCCTTCGTTTTGGAACCATCAGCCATGTTAACAACAAAGGGTTCCATCTTCTGATAATTGATATGCTTATATTTTACCTATTTATTATATCCCTAATTTGTGATTTTTGCAATATATTTTGAGTACAAATATGCTATTTATGTGATTTTATCTTTAATTGTAGGAATTGTACTCAAATGAAGAATTGTTGAAGTTTTGAGCTAAAATCGAATTAAAAGCAACTCAATGGGAAAGAATTGAAGATTGAAGCAATTGATGGGGAGGAAATTAATGAGTTTAGAGAATTGGAGGGCCAATGATGCAATTTTGGATGGGTTAATTAAGTTTTTGGAAAATTGGCCGAAGGTTATGTTGGTTATGCGGCCGATTTGGGATTGGAATTGGATAAGAATTTTAATCCCGATATTAATTGGGAAACAAGTTTTCTTGTTCTTCAAGGAGTAGGGTTTAGCCGGAAGCCTATAAAAGGAGGATTAGGAATTTATTTTTACAACAGAACTGAACCGAAACTTGACCGAAAACCACCGAACTCCCTCCTCTTTCAGCCGGCCATCACCTTCTTCCTCCATCATCCACGCGAAGCAGCCGGCCACCATCTTCACCGCCGCTTTGCTTCCATAACCACCACACCAGCCCTTCTCCTCCTTCACCGGCAGCCTCCTTCTCCACCTCGTCTCTATCCTCCACGCAGCCCTCCTTCACCGGCAGCATAACCACCACCTTGATCTCCATCATCTTCCTCCTTCATCCCACCGCCGAAACCGCAACACCTTGCTTCCTCTCCTCCAACTCCACGAGGCAGCCACGCACCAGCCCTTCTTCCTCCTCCATCACCGCCGCGCAGCACCACCGACCCCGCACCCTGCTCCATTGCCTTCGCACACACAGCAGCAGCATCAACTCCACCTTCTCCTGTTCACCGCCGCGCAGCACCACCGAAGCATCTTCCTCCATCATTGATTCACCGGCGAGCCACGCATCAGCCGCGAAACGAGCAAATCCGGGGAGTTTTGGCGGATTTTTGGCTTCATTCGGTTTTAAAGTTTAATTATTTAATTTATTTATTTTTTATTATGTCTCTAAATATTATTGAATTATTTTTAATAATGTTTAGTGGCTAAATTCCTTTAATCTAGGGCTTGGGTGTAGCCACCGAATTTATTTGGTTTATTTGGTTTATTATTATTTGATTTTTCCATTAATTAATATTTGTTATTCTAGTTTTAATTCATGTAAGTAATTGGCCACTATTTGCATGTCTGAAGATATTAATCGAAGTAGCGAGAGTGGAAGATTAGTATTAGTTCGTAGGAATAATAAACTTAGGTTGTAAGCTACGAGAGTAAGATTATAACCTTTGCAATATTTGATTCTTAATGGTCTTAATGTGCTTTTGTTAATCCCTATAGTCACGAGAGTAGTCATAGGGTTAG